AAACATGTAGTGGAGAAAGTAACGATCGTTTTTACATGTATTAAAACAACCGCCGGCGGGGGCTTGTGAGAAAAAAATAATAATTCTGCTGGCAATAGTAGATGTATTTTGAACTTCATAATCCACAAGCTATATATAATTTTAAAGCTTATTTTCTCAGCTATATTTATATGTAAGTGTTAACGATATCAGACTTTGCATTCAAAAGATATAAAGCATAATATGGGCACAAAATAAATCATGTTTGTATAAGTTTCTTACCTTTCGTCTTCTGCTGCTCCAACAAATTAGACTTTCCCCGTCCTTGCTTAGTCTCTTTCTCTCCGTGAGTCTTCAGTGAAAAATAATATCCACTTGTATTTCCCAAAGTATAATCCATTCTTCAGAAATAATCCAACAATGTGCATTTTTCTGTTGCAAAAAAACGCTCCGAAAGATGTTCAGGCTTCTCTTTCACATTTCACCAAGTTTGAGCTTTTTTTACCCCCACAAACATAATATCCACGTGTTCCTTGAGTCCTTAGCTTTAAAAAGAGAAGTTCCATGAAAAGAAAGGAGCAGGTTTCAGTCTGCAGGACCCTTGTGAAAAAGACGAACCGCATCCACTTGCAGAGGGTCCGTTTTTGCCTTGTTGTTGATTACAGGCTAGCGCTATGAGGTAGCCCTGAATGATTGACGTGTCTAAGTAGCCAATAAAAAGAGCTTTCTTTTGATGGGTGGGACTTGTAGGAACCCTTTTCATTTTCACAGTAAAAGCGTGCGTAAAGACGCTGTTAGTACTGCTCAGTGGGGGCGGGTCCCGGCTCAAAAGTGGCCAAAATGACGTGCGCTGACATGCTGCAATACCACCCCGGGCCTGTGGGGGTGGACCCGGAAGTAGAATTAGCCAATGCTAACATATAGCATTGGCAGACCTGTCAAAAACGTCTTTACAGGATGGTCCAAAAGTTGGCTCTTGGCCCAAAGCTCCGTTCCACATGTGTGTCAATGCTGAGGGGGGTGTTTTGGTCCACTCTAGTTTACTTGCTGTGAATTTTTAAAGTCTCTCGTTCAAATGAATGGAGTTGCGCCGGCTGACACATGCGCAGATGCGTTTTTTCACAATTTTCTTGTGGGCGGGACCACTCGCGGCCATTTTGGATTGCTCCATGAAAGCACTTTTTTTGGCCCATTAGTTAGAACGGCGGCGATAGGCGTGACTCTGTCCGTTAATATCTACAGTCTATGGTACTGCTGCGCATATTTTATATGCATTTACACTACTAAAAAAATTATTTTGAAACAATTTAAAAGAAAATCACACAGATTTGTAACTTATAAGTACCAAAACTAAAAAATATGCTTTTTATGATGGTGAAATGTTAGTAAAGCAGTTTGGCACAATTTGGCACACAATTTGCCAAATTGGTTCCGAATGGCACTACTTGATAAAAAAGAGAAACTGCATAAAAACTATAAAACTTAGAAGTCTGAAACTTTAGACAGTTGTTGTCAACAACACAATGAACTAATTGGCGTTGAAAATGTTCTTCTTCCAATGAAGTAGGCTTTTTTAGGGCATTTATACATTGAATTGTTTAGACGAGGCTAAAAAAAAAGTTTTTTTCCCCAAACTTCAAAGGATGCAGAGTGAAATAGGAATAACATACATTATTTCAGTGTATATTCACATAAACTAGAAGGGCCTAGCTTTAAAATGATGCATCACACAAGCATGTGAGATGTAAGATGTGTTTTTAAATAAGCAAAGACATTTGGGTATGCCAAACTTTTGTGCACGAGCCAAAACAGATGTAGGAGTTTAAGAGGTTAAAAGTTAAACTATAACACTATAATTGAGCCTCAGTACATATACATTTACATATTACATATACATAGTACATATTCGTATTTGATGAATTTATGACATTTGACAGAGGAGTTAAAATCCTAGCTGCTTCAGCCAGTAGAGCCCTGGGTTCTGTGATAAACAAGTTAAAAGTCTGTAAAGATCTTGGTTATGGAACATTCTCTCAGTTGTATGCCGCCTGTGTGTCGCCTGTGCTAAACTATGCTGCTGGTGTGTGGGGGGCCGTGCAGAGCCCAGCCTTAGACGTTGTAGAAAACCGTGCAATCCGCTGCTTCTTGGGAGTTCATAAGTTTGTCCCCGTGCTGGCAGCGCAGGGCGATATGGGCTGGGTTCCTGGATCAATCCAAAGGAAATGTGAAATGGTGAGACTGTGGAATCGACTCATTAACCTGTCTGAAAATAGAGTAACAAAAAAAGTCTTTCTATGGAGTAAAAATAAGTGTCCTTGGGCTGCAGAGCTCCGGACTGTCTTTGCTGATGCACAACTCCAGTATGTATTCCAGAATAATTTGTCCTGTAGTGTTAAAACCATCAGATCAATTTTAATGTCAAATTTTGAACACAAATGGTTGACTGGGATCATGGCAAAGCCAAAGCTAAGGACTTACTTACAAATTAAAGATGTATTTGAAACTGAGTTGTATGTAAAGGCAAACCTGACAAGGAACCAAAGATCTTTGATGGCTCAGCTGCGAACTGGCATCCTTCCCCTGGCCATAGAAACTGGCAGGTTCACTCAAGCTCCTGAAGAGGACAGACTCTGTAGACTGTGTGAGTTAGGAGAGATTGAAAGTGAAACTCATTTTGTGTTATATTGTCCACAGTACGATGATCTTAGAAATGTATTGTTTGGTGAATTGTTTGTTCAAAAGCCTGAAATGTTCTGGATCAGTGATGACGACAAGATGAAATGGTTGTTTACTTCTAATGTGTTTAAATTGGCTTCTTTTGTTTGTAAAGCCTGGTTGAGGCGGCAGACTTGTTTGTTTAAATAAGTTTATGTATTGTATAGTGTGCCTATTGTCTGGCATCTGGTGCTTTTGTTGGTGTTATTGGTGTCTTATAAGCCCATTAGGGCTGGGCATACAGTGTGTATGTAAGACACAATAATAAAAACTATTCATTCATTCATTCATATACAGGGCGGCACGGTGGCTGAGTGGATAGCACTCTTGCTTCTCAGCAAGAAGGTCCTGAGTTCGAATCCTGGACGGACCAAGGCCTTTCTGAGTGGAGTTTGCATGTTCTCCCCATGTCTGCGTAGGTTTCCTCCGGGTACTCCGGTTTCCCCTACCACTAAAAACATGCACAATAGTTCTGGCATGTGCCTCCTGTACTGGCCCCGCTCCCATCTCTGTGTGGAGTGAGAGGACAAATGCCCAAAAAGATAACAATTGTAAACCGCCTTGTGACTCTGGTCTGTGAAAGGCGGTTTATAAATAAAGATTACTTACTCATCCTCTTTACACCCGCCGGCGCCGTTTTTATTTTTAAAATGTTCTTCTGGCAATAACAGATGCATTTTGAACACCAAACTCCAAAAGCTGTATGTCATTTTAAAGCTTATTTTCTTGTAAACAACATCAGACTTTGCATTCAAAAGATACAACACATAATGTGGGCACAAAATAAATCACTTTCCAAAAAGTTTTTTACCTTTGGGCTTGTGCTGCATAAATAAATCAGATTGGGTCTGCAACAGCTCCCGTGAGTACAGCTAGCGCTGCTGTTTGCACATCGGTCACTGATCTTTGTTGTCTTCCCTACTTCTTTGTATCTATTTCCTGGCTGTTTGATTGACATGTCCGTGTAGCCAATGAGGAAAACTTTCGAGCAAGGGGTGGGACAATGGTGTCCTGTCTTATGTTGTGCCTGTAGAATGAATGAATGAATGAATGAATGAATATTTTATTTAAGTGTCATGCACATATGTGCCCAGCCCACATGGGCTTATATGACACTATAAACATAACTTGGAAGACGACCATTTAAACAATATGTTCAATATACAATATACATTTCACAAAAAAATCAAGAATCTGGATACAAAGCTTTCATTCTCATTGTCCAGGCTTTCTCCACATATCTTGCCAAACAAAAAATTGAATTTCTAAATAACCAACTCAACATATCACCTTCTGCCAACCAAAATAGATCAGGATTACTGCATTTGACTCTTTCAAACAAAGCTGTTCTTAAATCATTATACAATGGACAATAGAACATAAAGTGAAATTCATCCTCCACCACACATAGATCACAAACATTACAAAGTCTGTTCTTTTCAGGTACCCCTCTGTAACGACCCACCTCCACCTCTAGAGGCAGCACTCCTGCTCTGAACTGAGCACACAGAGACCTCTGTCCTCTGTAGAATTGTGCGTAATGGCAGCCAAAAGACGCTCTCGAAGCTGCAATGAATTTACAATCATAAAAAATTAACTTTGACATAAAAAAAGACAGAAAAATAAACACATAGATTAGTAACTTATAAGCACCAATAATAAAAAATATAGTTTTTATGATCATTAAATGTCAGTAAAGACAAACTTCAAAGGATGCAGAGTGAAATAGGAATGACAAACATTATTTTAGTGTATATTTACATAAACTAGAGTGTTTTTAAATAAGCAAAGACATTCGAGTATGCCCAACTTTTGTGCACAAGCCAAAATGAGGCGGGTGTTAAGAGGTTATACAACCCTACAGTTCAGCAGAGTTTCCCAAACGGGGGTTCCCAATCGGATTTTCCCCACTGTAGGACGAATAAAGACAGTGTTGCACCTGTGCCCGCGGCCCTCAGAGCGCAGCTGCGGATAAACAGAAACACACGGTCTCAGCTGCAGCAACAGGCCCGCTGTGATAACGAAACCTACCACACGGGGGCGCACTGGACCGCTCAAGTTTTCTTTCGTTTTCCAATGAAACAAACGGGCCGCTGTTATGAAGTGCAGTCTGTGTAAGTCTCTCTCTTTTCTGCAAATAGACTTATTTTAAACTATAGACAACGTTACGTCCTTTTACGTCACGATCGCGTTGATACTCTGCAGCGTGAGGGCAGTGGAGCTGTCATATAAATAAATGAGTAAATAATAGACGCGCCCATTTTACTTCTTGGATTTAGACCAGAATCGGTTCGTGTGTCGTCCAGGAAGTGCCATCGGAGACTCCCACGGCCCACGCAGACCTGAGCAGACCCAAGCAGACTGAAGCAGACCCAAGCATACTGGAGCCCATTGACCAGCTCCGTGAACGTGCGGTAAGGACGTGTTTGGAGTTTGGGCCTTGACTGTAAAATGCAGATACTTTAGTTTGCACGGACACGTTTTGTTCTGGTCTGCGTCCTGCTAAAACGGAGTATTAGTTTGTGATGACATGGATAATGTTGATAGGCAAGGCAAGTTTAATTATATGGCACAGTTCATGCACAAGGCAAAGTGCTGAACAAAAGCGGAAACATAAATCACAGCTCATTCAAAAGAGAAGCCTGTCTAATTATATAGATTAAGATCAAGTCCAATATTTGTCTCTCCGTGGGGACATTTCAGACCGTGTGGGGTGGGAGGCAGTGCAATTTCCTTATTCCGACTCCATTTCAAGCTGATACGATTGTAAATAAAGTTGTAAATACATTTTAAAATATTCCTAAATATTATTAAATGTAAATATTGCTTATGAATGTATATATCATTAATGGAGAGTGTACAAGTCTCCCCATGCATGGCCTCGCACCAAAGCACATCTGTGACATGTTAGTGCCATATGAACCAAGTCTGAGGAGCACAGGGACTGGCCTCCTGCTGGGACTCTGAGGAGCACAGGGACTGGCCTCCTGCTGGGACTCTGAGGAGCACAGGGACTGGCCTCCTGCTGTTTTTTGACCCCTGCAGCTTATACTACTACTCTTGTTTATTGTCAAAATTGATGAAGGTGAATGAGTCATAGATAGATAGATACTTTATTGATCCCCATCGTAGAAATTCAGGTGTCCAGTAGCAGCAAAAATTAAATTGATCATTCTAAAAAGCAAACAATAGTAATAATCAGCAACAGCCTCTGGGTGGAGCAGGACGGGTCACAGCAGCAGAGGTGGAGTAGCCTCTGGGTGGAGCAGGACGGGTCACAGCAGCAGAGGTGGAGTTGCCTCTGGGTGGAGCAGGACAGGTCACAGCAGCAGAGGTGGAGTAGCCTCTGAGTGGAGCAGGACGGGTCACAGCAGCAGAGGTGGAGTAGTCTCTGGGTGGAGCAGGACAGGTCACAGCAGCAGAGGTGGAGTAGCCTCTGAGTGGAGCAGGACGGGTCACAGCAGCAGAGGTGGAGTAGTCTCTGGGTGGAGCAGGACAGGTCAGAGCAGCAGAGGTGGAGTAGTCTCTGGGTGGAGCAGGACGGGTCACAGCAGCAGAGGTGGAGTAGCCTCTGGGTGGAGCAGGTTGGGTCACAGCAGCAGAGGTGGAGTAGCCTCTGGGTGGAGCAGGACGGGTCACAGCAGCAGAGGTGGAGTAGCTTCTGGGTGGTGCAGGACGGGTCACAGCAGCAGAGGTGGAGTAGCCTCTGGGTGGAGCAGGACGGGTCACAGCAGCAGAGGTGGAGTAGCTTCTGGGTGGTGCAGGACGGGTCACAGCAGCAGAGGTGGAGTAGCCTCTGGGTGGAGCAGTACAGGTCACAGCAGCAGAGGTGGAGTAGCCTCTGGGTGGAGCAGGACGGGTCACAGCAGCAGAGATGGAGTAGCCTCTGGGTGGAGCAGGACAGGTCAAAAGGTGGAGTAGCCTCTTGGTTTTGACCATTTTCTCTGCTCTAGTCCAAAGTAAAATGCTAAATGCTTCATTAGCATTTTTCAAAAAGTTAGCATTCCTCCAGTGGGTTTTTGCCTGATCCGCTTGGTTTGAACCATGAATCTTCTCTGCTCTGGTCTGGGAATCTTTTCTACTCGGGCAGAAAAAAGCAATAAAAAGAAAAGTTGTAAAGCACAAAACAAAAGCTGTTTCAGAGACACTTTGGACTTGCAGCCGTTCCGTGAGCATCCTACAGTTGTCAAAATAGATTTAGGTGAATGAGCCATGGAAGCTAACGGCTAATCAAGTACGGCGTTGATCTTCTTTTCAGGTGGTGTGGCTTACATATAGGGACGCCTTATAGTCCAGAAATTATGGTACAATACAATGGTTTAATACATTTTTAAAAATATAAGATAAAACTTTTTTGGTCCATTGCTTTGAATGGGAGCAGTGAAAATGACGGCTCTGAAAGGCTTTTTAACTCTTAACCATCGAGAACCTGTCTTCAATCCCGCAGTCTGACATCTGAGCTGCACTCCCTGTACTTCTCTGCAGTTCAGCATTGTTCTGTGTGGATAATCGCCATGGCAACGGTCTGTCTGTGGCTGGCATTGCTGTATTTCGTGTTTGTGGAGGAGATTGGGAATGATCAGCGTTTGTTCTGATGTTTTAATGTGGTACTTACAGAGATGGACTCACACAAACCTGCTGCTGCTGCTGTTCCGGACCAGAGCTCTGAGAGAACAAAGTCTAAAAAACGCAAAAAGAGGTAAGAATTATTCAAATGTAAAAATCTCATTATGTCTTGTTTATGTCGAAGGTTCTTTTAATTAAGACAAAGAGAGTAAAGAAGCTCAAACTGCTTAATGACCACATGGTTGGGTGATAGACTTGTGCCGTCGTCAGAGGAGACTCATGATGGTGTCATGTCTCTAGAGAAGTGAGTCCCAAGTGTGAGCCAAGGTATAGGCCCCCTGGTCTCTGTTGATGGTCCGTGCTCCCCGCTTCCTGGTTTCAATCTCCTCTCAAATCCATTCTTTTGTATTTTTGTTTGCTGTTACAACTATTTCTACCTTGTCCCAGTTCAATTCACTTCTCCAGCCTGACCCTCTGACGCTAAGCAGGGTAGGGCTGGGTTAGTATTGTGATGGGAGACCAGTGGGGCGGCTGTGGCTGTAAAGTGTCAAACTATGGCTGTGTCCTTAGGCAAGACACTTCCCCCACATTAGAATGAGTCTGATCTAGTGTGTGTGTGTGTGTGAATGGTTGGTGGTGGTGGGAGGGGCCGATGGCACAGATTGGTTGCCTCGCTTCTGTCAGTGTGCCCCAGGGCAGCTGTGGCTATAGTAGTAGTTTATCACCACCGTGTATTGAGTGAATGAATAATAACATGTGAAGTGTTTTCGAGTGTCCAAAAATAATTATCGTTAAATCCTCTCGCTCCGGTCCTTACCAAGCCTCACCTGGTCCCTGGTCTCTGGTCCAGACCCAGTGGATGGGTCGAATGCAGAGGACAGTAAAACGCAAATACTATATCTATAATATTATCACTTTCTTTCAAACGTTTACAGGAAGAACCAAAAGACTGGATCAGATTCTACGCTGTGTTTGTCCAGCGAAAAGACAACAGATGAGTATGTTTTTAAATTTTTATACTAAAGACCATATATTAGGAGCGGACTTACTGAGTGTGACATCACCCTAGTGTTAGCCTCAATGTGGAAGAGGCTAATTTAGGCTAGCTATTTCCTAAACTACACCCGGTAATGTAGCTAGAGGAATGTACTTTTTAGGGATACTTTGAATTCTTCTTTTATATTTATTTATATATAGACGGGTCAAAGAATAATTCATAATAAAATATCTTTCACTTCTCCTCTGATGTTTCTAAAGCCTGATTGGAGGAAAAGGAGGCGCACCGTCTCTGGCCTCCATGAGTCCAGAACGGCCTTCTATGGCGAGTGGAAACACCAGGTAAACACTTTAACAGTCATTTCAACCAAATAACAAGACGTATCATTATTTATCATTTTAGGCTGTAGTTAACATGTATTTGAGATTTGAGAGTATGAGATTTTGTATGTAGAGTATTTGTTCTATGTATTGTTTGGAGTTTGCTCCTTTTTAACTCCTTTTGCAGGTTGAAACGATTGGATCTGAGTTTACCGAGACGTATGTAATGCGCCCGAGTCTGTTGTTAGCATTTAGCATTTAGCCTAGCCATCTCCTTTGCCGCTAACGGAGCCCGTGGGGAGTAGCGCCACAATTTATTCTAGCGATTACATTTGTTAAACATTCCTCTTGCTCCTGCTTCAGTTTCTTGACAGAACCAGACCGGATTACTTTACTATCGCATTTTTTGCCATTGCCAAACTACGACCTTTCCGTTCGGCGCAAACTCTTGACATCATCCAACAACTAACTACAACACCCGCCTCCCCTGCTCGCTGATTGATCTTATGGGATTCAAGCAATTGTAATCGCAAACACAGGGACTAGACCCAGACGTTACATGCAGTGAATGATGTACGGATGGATAAGGCCAGGCTAGTTTGGATTGGACTGACTGAATGTGACATCACCATAGTTTTATTAGCCGTACCGCTGCAAAACACAAGACGGGCCATGTATACGCTTTGCTATCATTGTTAGTGCTGTCAAACAATTCAAATATTTATTCGGAATTAATCACAATGAATCGCACTTTTGTCCCTAGTCCAAATGTCCCTTGATTTGAGAAGAAATTTGATATTGACCAATACCAAAAGACAGTATTTGGATTGTCTAATATGTACTTCTCAATCTCTGGTTTTTGAGTACAGAACAAATGAACACAGTAGAAAATGACTGAAATTGTCAAATAAAGGCGACTCTTTTGTTGTTGTTGTTTCGGTTTCAAGTCAGTTCGATGGTTAGGATTTTTTTTTCAGTGAAAACAGCTCCAGCTTCAGCGTTTGACCTGGAGATATTTGTGATTCTGAATGACGTCCAGTAATCAGGAGTGGGCGTGGCTTTTGAAGCGTCAAAGGCAGCGGGGCGGATATCAGATACGTGCCCGTGGTAGAAGCCTGGAGCACAAGCACGCAGACACACCCAGTCTCTCATGTGTATTTTTGCCGCACAGTTACGCAGATTTCAGTCAAAACACATACCTGCACTAATTGCGCGATAAAATAAGCGTTGGTTTATACTTTGAGTTAAGAAATTAATTCGTAATTTCCAAACGTACGGACTGCCACACCTGGTAATGGTAATTTTGATGATGGTGTTAAGCAAAAATAAGTGTTTTTTTTTTTTTTTTATCCAACTTTGTTTTTGTAGTTGACCAATGACTAAAGATATATACATGAGATCTCAGAATTGAAATCTCAACGTGTGCAAAGGGGAGGGACAAAAATGACAATGTAAAATTCATGTTTTCTTTGAGATCTGACATTTTTATTTCTGAAGGTCCTCCAGAAAAAGTGCATCCTCGACTTCAGCATCTGTGAAATCCTTCAGTCCAGAGAGACCAGATTTATCGACACGTAAAGACAGGTATGAGGCCGTTTTTATTATTTTACACGCTTTGAGTTCACACTGCATCGGAATATTGTGAAATGAACGCAGAGTTTGTTAAATCAAATCCATCGCATGTGACTTTTGTGAAAACAGTTTATTGATTTAGTGTTTTAGGTGTGTATTTGTGAGTTTAATATCCATCTTGAATCAAACTTTGAATTGTGTTTTTCCTAAAGCCTGATTGGAGGAAAAGGTGCGTCTCCGTCTCTTTCCTCCATGAGTCCAGAACGACCGTCTATGGCGAGTGGCAACACACGACACCCCAGGTACAACTGTTGTTTCAATCAAATTACTTTAATAATAATAATAATAATAATAAGATTGGTATAAGATTGACAACATGAGTGATAGATTTTGTTTTGGAGGCAGGACGAGCCCCAATTTCCACCCGACTTAATTAAACAAGACGTTGATTTTTTTTAAATGTGCAAAAAATGATCAAATATAAAGTAAAAAATGTTTGTGTTTTTATCTTATTTTGAGTACATTTTCACAAGAGTTGCCAATGGAATGAGCAAAAATATCTTGTACTAAAAAAAACACAAGAAAATTCAAGAAATGTCTTTGGAATGAGAAATAATTTGCAACTGCCTTTGAAATAAGCAAATCTTGTTTTAAGACTGTCAAAATGTGCTTAAATTAAGATGAAAACACTTGATTCAACCAATTATTGCCGTATATTTGATCATTTTTTGCAGTGTAAGATGAAGGGAACCTCTTTTCGTCCCACAGTGGGGAAATTCCAGTGTTGCAGCACACATGCAGGATCATACTACACATATAGAGAGGAGCAGCTGTAAATGGTATACATCAGTGGACCTATAGCTTGGGAGCCACCAGTAGCTCTCCACCCCCTTCCAGGTAGCTCCCCAAAGGATTTAGAAACGAACAAATCCAGTAAGACACTTAATATTTCAGATTGTATTATCCATTACCATTATTTATTATTGTAAACGCTCTTACTTTGTCACTAGTAACAAGTATGTGATGATAGATAATGAATGTACTCGATATCAGACTCGTTCACACCAATTTATCACCAGAGTAGCAGCTGTTAATCTGAGTCTGGACCAGTGGGGGCGGGTCCCAGGTCAAAAGTGGCCAAAATGACGTGCGCTGACATGGGGCGGCACGGTGGCTGAGTGGATAGCACTCTCGCCTCTCGCCTCTCAGCAAGAAGGTCCTGGGTTCGAATCCCGGCCAGACCAGGGCCTTTCTGAGTGGAGTTTGCATGTTCTCCCCGTGTCTGCGTAGGTTTCCTCCGGGTACTCCGGTTTCCCCTACCACTAAAAATATGTACAATAGTTCTGGCATGTGCCTCCTGTACTGGCGACCCCGCTCCCATCTCTGTGTGGAGTGAGAGACAAATGCCCAAAAATTAACAATTGTAAACCGCTTTGAGACTCTGGTCTGTGAAAGGCGGTATATAAATAAAGCTTACTACTTACTTACTTACTATGCTACAATACCACCCCGGGCCGATGGGGGTGGACCCAGAAGAAGAATTAGCCAATGCTAACATATAGCATGGGCAGACCTCTCAAAAATGTCTTTACAGGATGGACCAAAAGTTGTCTCTTGGCCCAAAGCTCCGTTCCACATGTGTGTCAATGCTGAGGGGGTGTTTTGGTCCACTCTAGTTTACTTGTTGTGAATTTTTGAAGTCTCTCGTTCAAATGAATGGAGCTGCGGCTGACGCATGCGCAGATGCGTTTTTTCACAATTTTCTTGTGGGCGGGACCACTCGCGGCCATTTTGGATAGCTCCAGTAGAGCATATTTTTTGGCCCATTAGTTAGAACGGCGGAGATAGGCGTGACTCTGTCCATTAATATATACAGTCTATGGTCTGGACCTGAGCCTTTGACAGAATGAGCTGCGGAAGTTTGTTACATATTTTCAGGTTTGATTCATAGATTTGTTTCGAAACGATTACTTTCATATAGTAAACAAATTCAATGTGAAACCAAAGAAATTGACAGAAACCATCACACCCGTTTTTATTGATTATTGTTTTTTTTTAATGATTATTTTTTCTTTCAAGTGATTTCCTGATGTTGTTCATGTGAATCTTGTGGGAGTTCATCTGCTGCTTTTTCAGACTGAGGACCTTTTATATGTCACTTGAGCCACAGTTGTTTAAAAATGCTCCAATAATAGTTTTGTTAATCTTTTCCTTTTCTCCAATCTAGTTTAATCATTTTAGTTTTTGAGTTATTACATTTTAAAGTCCAGATACGATAATGACCTCTTTACTGTGAAGTAGGATTCAGGACACAGACAGAAACCCAGGTCCAGCCTCAGGAAGATGTTTGTTCTAACGTAAAAACATGTGTGTATTATTTCTAAAGGTCTGACAGAAGAAGTGCCTCCACAACGTCTCCATCTCTGCAGTCGTTCAGTCCAGAACGCCCCGATCTATCCACACAAAAACACAGGTATAGGGCCACAACCTTTCTCAATATCAACTACATTGGTATTTATTAAGTATAACCGACACGTATTCAACTGTTTACTGTGCCTAATATAGATGAATTAAAACAGGTATACACCAATTCATTCCGCCGCTAATGAAAGCATTTGATTGGTTCTTCCTTATATTTATCCTATCTGGATTTGGGCTTTATCAAAATATAACCAGGATCACAGAAAGCACGAAACCACAGATTCGTTTAAGCCCAAAATGGGGAGTAAGTCACAAGCTGAGATAGAGGAGTTTCCTTTTACATGTAAGTCAATAGGAGCCAGAGCTAGCATTAGCATCAGCTGTTAGCATTGTGTGCTAATACAGGCTATGAACTGTGGACAACAGCAACAAGTGCAAGGTTAAGGTTATGTCTTCTGCATTCGACCCATTCAGGAGCTAACTAGGTAATGCTAACTTTGCTAATGCTAACGCCTTTTATTCTTTTTGCTGACAGGAATGTACTGGAACCTTTCAGTTGTGGAAAACATGCGACAGAAGTATGTATTAGGATCCAACCCAGCGTTGGTATCGATCTTGACACTCACCGTTTTCACACCAGGAATATTTTCAGTATCATATTCTTGCTTGCCGTCTTCTTGCCCTTTGTTTCTAGCCTGAGCAGCTAGACCCACACAATCTAACACTCACAGAAGTATGGATCTCTGCTCTGAGCTGTGTTTGAATGTTTTTGCTTATGTCACAACAAACACACATGCGCTCTCCTGGCTCATACAGTGAGGAGAGTCATTTAATATCATTTTAATTACAATCAAACTCAACAGATCCGTTTTCCAAACGCCACATCAAAGAGCACAGAATCAGAATCATTTTTATTGCCACGTAAGTAACAGGAGGTCACAGACTTGGAAATTGCTTTGGCTCAGTGCAACAGTCAAAAAGAGATAATAAAAATAAGAATTAAAAACACTTCTAAAGAATAAATTTAAATTTAAAATAGAGTTACAGTTACTATTTACAATATACAAGTGCACATGGTGCACACAATGTAAGGTGACAGCAGTACAGTGAAGTAAAGTGACGTATGATGGGCAGTAAAGTGACTTTATAAAGGGCGGGGGGACAGGTTAAGAAGTGTTCAAGAGTCCAACAGCCGAGGGGAAGAAACTGTTCTTGTGGCGGGAGGTTCTAGTCCTGATGGACCGCAGTCTCCTGCCTGAGGGGAGTGGTTGGAATAGTCCATGTGCAGGGTGAGAGGGGTCGGCTGTGATACGACCAGCCCGGCCTCGAGCTCGGGCGACGTACAGGTCCTGCAGCGATGGAAGGCTGCGGCCGATCACTTCCTCTGCAGAGCACACAATGCGCTGTAGTCTCTGTTTGTCCCTGACTGTGGCTCCAGCGAACTACACGGTGCTGGAGGAGGTGCTGGAGGAGGTGATGGAGGAGGTGATGGAGGAGGTGCTGGAGGAGGTGATGGAGGAGGTGAGGATGGACTCGATGATGGCCGTGTAGAACTGCACCAACATCTGTGCAGGCAGCTTGGCTTTCCTGAGCTGCCGCAGGAAGTACATCCTCTGCTGGGCCTTCTTGATGAGGGAGCTGATGGTCGGCTCCCACTTGAGGTCCTGGGTGATGGTGGTGCCCAGGAAACGGAAGGACTCCACAGAGGTGATGGGGGAGTCCATCACGGAAGGTGGGGGCGGGGGGACAGTGCTCTTCCTGAAGTCCACAATCATCTCCACTGTCTTCTGGGCGTTCAGCTCCAGGTTGTTACCACTGCACCAGGACACCAGCCGGTCCACCTCCCTCCTGTAGGCGGACTCATCGTTGTTGGAGATGAGTCCAATGAGGGTGGTGTCGTCCGCGAACTTGATCAGCTTCACGGAGTCGTGGCTGGAGGTGCAGTGGTTGGTGTACAGGGAGAAGAGCAGGGGAGAAAGAACACAGCCCTGTGGGGCTCCTGTATTTATAATCCGAGAGTCCGAGACATTCTTCCCCAGACGCACTCGCTGCTTCCTGTCCGACAGGAAGTCAGTGATCCACCTGCAGGTGGAATCGGGCACGTTGAGCTGGGAGAGCTTGTCCTGGAGCAGGGATGGCAGGATTGTGTTGAAGGCAGAGCTGAAGTCCACGAACAGGACCCTGGCGTAGGTCCCCGGGGAGTCCAGGTGCTGTAGGATGTGGTGGAGGGCCAGGTTAATGGCGTCGTCTACAGATCTGTTGGCTCTGTAGGCGAACTGCAGGGGGTCCAGGAGGGGGGAGGTGAAGGACTTGAGATGGGAGAGGACCAGGCGTTCAAATGACTTCATGACGACAGACGTAAGTGCTACAGGTCTGTAGTCGTTGAGTCCTGTGATCCTGGGCTTCTTCGGGACGGGGACAATGATGGAGGATTTGAAGCAGGCCGGGACATGGCAGGACTGCAGAGAGGTGTCCTGCCATAATGTCTGACACACAGGCAAAGTGTGTCAGACATTAACATGCTAACGTTAGTGCTACTTTAAAGAGATTGTTATACTAAGTCAGATTTGACTCAATAATTCTGCATAAATGAGTCAATCCACTGATGAAGAAGCACCAGAGCTGAACTCAAGCAGCTGCTTCTGGCCCAGAGTTCACGAGTCGTCCCAAGTTTCCAAGGTTGTTGTGAACGTAGCTTCTGGCAGAGGCCCGTGGGGGAGTTAGTAAAGTTTGCTCGCCCAACACAGAAGGGTACAACCTGAGGGGCTTTGTTTCGAGCGGTACAGATATGGCCAACGCCAGGTCACGTGACTGAAAGCCAGCAATTAAAGGCCGCTCTGTTTATCAGTGTCTATAATGCGTCACATTTGGACAAAGGTTTCTGTTTCTGATACAAGACGTTTTTTTATTTAAATGTGCCTTATGTAATATGAAAGTACCTCTTTTCATCCCACAGTGGGGAAATGTCAGTGTTGCAGCACACATACAGGATCATATTACATATATACAGATGAGCAGCTGTAAATGTAATGTATAGATTGACACATTTATACACAACAATAATGGCTATATATACACATAATGTAATTTAGCACAAAATGGGCAGAATAAAAAAGAAGATAATGTGACATTCAGGGGAAATTTTATTTAAAGATAAACTGACATCGGCAGTTCTCATTGTACAGATGAGATGGTGTAGTGCTAATCTGATTTTATAATCTGCAGAAAATACTGTAAAATCAGAAAAGCACTAGATGACTGATTCAACAAATATTTGAGAATACATCAGCAAAAAATCCAGTGTGTGTGAAATGTGATGTAACACGTGTGAAAACGGCATTAGTATTTCATGATACAATAACACAAAAACTGAACACAGTTTCTGCATAATTTCAATACATTTATCTCATTTCCACAGGACGAAGATCTGGCGCTTCCCCAACTAATGGAAGAATGGACAAGAGAACATGTTCGAGACTGGCTAATAACTCATCTTCGGATCTCGCAGAAGGTTGCCGAGAGTCTCTACGACCAAGAGACCTCAGGAGCGTGTTTAATGTCCTTTGAGAAGCAGGACCTTCTAGAGTTAGGGGTTCCTCCAGCTCCGGCCCTACAGATCTTACGACAGGTGGAAAAGTTCCACAGACGCTCTGAGCCCAGTGCACGACATCAGGACCAAGACTTAGAGAGAATTACTGAGGACAGAGAGGAGACCCAGACAGTGACCACAGATTCAGGATTTCACAGTGAAAGTGCATCCGTAGAGCAGGAAGTGAGAGATGTGGTTGAAGAACCGATTATAGAGAACTCTCGTGAACATCTCCAGGTGAAATCCCTTTCTCCAGTGAAGCGGCCGGTGTGCGCATTGCGGCCTTTTGACAAGAGCAATGCCCCAGTGTTTTACACACACCATCACTTCCTCCCCGCTGTCACAGGACCCAGTAATCTTTTAGAACCCGTTCATGAATACCTGCTTTTACCAGATCCTGAAGAAATGAGCCAAAAAGAGGTTCTGTTTGAGTTCACCAACGAAATGTTTTGTTTTGCTGCAAGCTGTATGAACTCACGCACCAATGGAACGATTCATTTTGGAGTAACGGATGAACCAGGCGAGGAACATGGTCAAATAAGAGGCCACAAAATCAGCTCTGAGCGTCTCTACAGCGAGGTCTTTGAATCACATGTGAGTAAATACTTTGATCAGCTGCACATCAACACTGCCCGAAGCTGCATCCGGCCTCCTGTGTTTGTCCAAGTCCAGTGTGAAGACGGAACAGCTTCAGACAAGTGGGTGATCGAGGTGGACGTGGTCCCTCACTACTCACTGACTCAAGAGAACGTCTTCTACACAATATTGAAAATCCCATCCTCACAGAAACATCTGCAGAAGTCCAAAATCGAATGCCTGTTTGTGCGAGAAGGGTCCAGAAAAGTGAATATTTTGGCAGATCCAAATCCACGTGTGTTTCAAGATAAGATCAAAGAAATCCAAGAGAAAGTGAAGTGTTGGGCATCAGCTCGCAGAGCAGCAGAGGAGAAGCCTGAGCCTGCAGTTTCCTCTGAGCACCAAGGTCACCGACTGAAGCAGCTCATCACCCGAGGACAGGATTCTCTCACAAACTCTATTCAAGTCGTTGTTGTTACCGACAAATGTCATAAGAGTCAACTGGAGTTCATGGACTTCTTGAAAGAACTGAATCTGTTTTCAGTTTTGGATTTTGATCCAGAGTCTGACATGAATGGAACATGTCATTTATACAGAAGTGATCGTGCTGCCAATCTACATTTTCCACACATGTACACGAGTCAAGACAGAACTTCAGTAATAGCAAAGTTAAATCTGTTCAAACAGACGAGCTGGGTCTTCTGCAATGGCCAAGCAGGTGAAGAGAGCGACTCTGAGAGGCCACTCACTCCCAGCGAGTGGCTGAAGAAACGCTCTGGTGACATCAACAGCATGGTCTCCTTTCTCTGCAGCCCTGACCTGCTTCCCAAGCACAGATTACTGATCCTCATTTTTATTCACTCTCCTGTTTATGACATCTCAAGTCCTGTCCTAGAAACCTTCTGTGCTTTGTATCGCTCTTTAGAAGGAATGGACAACATGCTTTGCATTTGCAAAGACTCTGAAGTCTTCAGAGAGTGGAAGAAGTTGGTGGAGATACGCTGCAAAGAGGACATCAGCAATAAATGCATCTACACATTGAGTTTACACGAGATCTCCAGCACCATAAAGAAACTAAAGGAGCCTCAAACTCGTGCTTCCAGAAGGTTCTTGCCTTCCACTGGTTCTAGTTCAGTCCTGCTGGAAAAGAAAGAAGAGGAGATGATGACGGATTTGGAAATACTGTGTGAAAATGAATGTGACAAAACAGAAATGGAAACAAATACATTTTTCGAAGAGTTTAAGAAAAACATAGAGGAGGAGTTTTACAGGGGAGGCCAAGTGTCATGGTGGAACTTCAACCTTGCAGAGCAACGGGGCAGTCTGCCTTTCATCAAACGAGACAAATATGACGAACTGCACCAACTCATCTGTCCCGTGCAGAGCTACACCTCTCCATGTGTGGTGGTGTCACTGTTCCACCATCCAGGCTGTGGGGGGACCACTTTAGCCAAGCATATACTATGGAGCTTGAAAAGCAAATTCAGGTGTGCAGTTGTGAAAAACCAAATGGCAACAACTAAAGAGATAGCTCTGCAAGTTAGAACACTGCTCACATATGGAAAACAAGATCAGCCCGGATACACTCCAGTTCTCCTCCTTGTCGACAACTGGTACGATATTGGAGACTTAAAACAGTGTATTATCAGTGGCGCTACAGACAGAAATCAGCCCAACATGGTTGTCATATTGAATTGTGAACGAACACAGTTTCCTGATGAAGCATCAAGACACAGTGACCATCCAAATGTGTTCATCAGTGCCAAGCTTTCATCCAAAGAAAAGGATTTGTTTTCTGAGAAATATCAGGAACTCAAAGACAACCACGACAAACCTGACACTTTCTATGCTTTCATGATCATGAAAAACGACTTCAGCAAAGATTACATCAGTGATTTAGTGAACAACATTCTCAAAGATCTTGACGTTGGGTCACAACAGGGAAGACTTTTGTCTTTCTTGGCTCTGCTGAACACGTACGTCAACGGGTCCTACATGTCCCTCTCTTTGTGCGAGGAGCTGATGGGGATTAGAAACCCACTTTGGAGGCAGGAAACTCTGGAAGATAAAATGAACCCGTATTCCACACTCTTGATCACTTTCACAGTTGAGGAACATGGCACTTATCAAGCAGTGCGGTTCTTACATCAGATGATTGCTGAAAACTGCATCAAAGTCTTCAAAGAACATCCACTTTCTATCTCTGAAATAACCACCGACTTGCTGTTCTGTGAGAGTGTCTATAAGACATGCATGGGAAAAGATTTCCTAAACCAATTTATCCAAAGTATGTTGGTCACACGAAGCCGGCGAGAGCAAGGAGATGACAAAAACACACTCTTTTCCCCTTTGATTGAAGACATTAAAACAGAAGAAGGCTTTGATAAAGTCACAGAGGTCCTTGAAAGAGCCGTAGATAGATTTGACAGAAGTGCCACTTTGCCTCAGGCTCTGGCGAGACACATGTGTCTTAATGAGAAAGACTTTGGCTGCGCTCTCAAATGGGCTCTAGACGCACAGAGCAAAAGATCAAACTCCTACATTGCAGACACAGTGGGGCAGGTGCACAAAAGCCAGCTCAAAAAACTTGTTGAGGATTCAAAAGAACCATCTCCCGAATCACTTGATGAATGTTTACAGGTCGCATCCAAGGCTGTGTCAGCCTTCAGGGAATCTCAGGAACTAGCAGAGAAAGATGATAAAAACGATCCATTTGATCAACATTTCAAAAGAGGACATACGTCATACAATATGTCAGGCTATCTGGGAGAAACAGAGGTCATACTCATGCTTCTGGACTTCATCACAGAACCATCAGTTTATCCTGCAAGTGACCGACACAAAAGAGATAAACTATTACAGTTTCTGAGAGGTCAGCATCCGGTTACTAACTTGTATGATGACAGCGTCTCAGGAATTAATGCAATCGTCAATGTCCTCAAAGCTCATGAAAGGTTTTTGGTTTCATTAAAACCAAGGCTAAAGGAAAACTTTACTTTCTATGAAAACTACTTTGTATACTTGAGGCCCAGACATGTGCCACTAAAGAAGGAAACAGTTGATGAAAGAAACAAACGTAAGATTTCCGACCTTTTCAAGAAGTACATACAGCTATTTAGTGTTTCAGAACAGGAAAAACAGAGTGAACGAGCAAGAAACCCTAAACTAAGTCTACAGCAGGTTATAGTGGACCATCGTCGCGACCTGGAGATGATGCAAGCTGACTCTTTTGCAGGACTTCTTCAGAGCTTGAGCCACAAAGACTTGAAAGAAATGGAAACCATCCATGACAAATGGAAATTTGTCTTTGAAAATTCAGGAAGCCGATTTCGACATACTTCTGACACAGTGAATTACATCCTGGCAAACATTGTTCTTCATAGCGCCAAACCAAGTTCAGGTCGTGTGAAGAAATATGAAGACTTAGTTGCACTTCTCAATGATATTCTGCAGAGAGAAGGCACTCGTTCCAACCTGCCTGAGCTCTATTACCTCTGCATGCTGCTGATGTGGCCGTCCAGAGACCAAACCCTGAAGCATTTCACAGAGTACAACAACATCAGCACCTACATAAGATCCGCCAAAAGATCCTTCCATAAACGCTTCAGCTTCATCTTTCCATCCAGGAGCGCCATCGCTCACTTCTTTCTTGGGAAATCAAACGGTTTAGGACGAATAGTTAGCAAAGCAAAGCTCGACCAAATATTGCAGGAGTCAAAATCTACAGACCAACTGAAAACCCTTTGGCATACTGGATTGGTGTGGGGTGACCCTGCTATCCAAGAGAAGTTGTTAAGAGTTAAAGGCAGATCTGAAAATGGTGATATTTATGTCACTTATGGCACCAACATCAAAATAATGATCCGTCCTGCATATCTCGGGGATATCCGCAGTGGCTACAGTCGAGAAGACGTTTCCTTTTACATTGGCTTCACCTTGGAAGGTCCTGTGGCCTACGGAGTCAAATATGAAAACTAAAACATGGAGCGGATTCAGCCAAACTAGTTGGACGTTCTCTATGACTGACAAGCGAGCCGTCAATCACAGACAGTTGTTATTGCTGCTTAAAGCAAAAGTTTAAACCCTTGCTTACACACACTAAGAAAAGTTTTTAGCTAAACAGCTCAACCTAAGCCACGGAATTATCTCGGCAGTAGTGGCAGTCAACTGGTGTAATTTAATTTTAAACCACTAGATGTCGCCAGAATACTCCAACTCGGTACAGGGCGTGTGTGATTCTTGGATGGTTTTATACCACAGGCGCAGAGCTATGTCACACAGCACAAAGTGATGTCACACAGTACTCCAGAGCCAATGGAGACGCCAGGCCTAAAATTAAAAGGTAGTGCCACCAAAAAAGAGGTTTTAGGCTCAAAAGTGAGATTTTATTTGGTGTTTAGTTTTCCTTTAAGCACAGCTGTATATAAACCACATTAGCTACATTTTAATAGTGTTTTTTTTTCACATACGCACTTGAGTATTTAATGTACTACTACAACTGACTGTTTTAACTAATCGCATGAAATATAAGTCATGTGTGTACCTCTACACTTCCTCTTTCTGCTGTTCACATAAACGCTCTGAAGCAGGATTTGGTTCTACATTTGAGGGTGTATACTACAAAGGCTGCAGGGTCCAAGAAACTTGAAAAAAAAAAAACAAGTACGATTTCATAAGTTGATGCCATTGACTGTATACAGATGGACGATGCTAACCAGCTAGCTCAATGAAGCCCAACTTTTGCTCCGAATCGCTCTGGCTCGTATTGACTCACATTGGAAAGTAAACTCCTCTTGCTCAGTAACTGTATGTGTCACACTCATCATTCTGGGATGAAAGAATCTGTAGTTTCTGTGCGCTATTTATGATCATGGTGGCTTTGTAAATTCAGAAATGACCCATACAAGGATTGACCAAGCAACGGTTTTAGCAACACATCTGCCTCTGTGATTGTGCAAAGCTAACACCATCGGAACCATAGACTGTATATATTAACGGACGTAGTCACACCTATCTCCGCCGTTTTAACTAATGTGCCACAACTTTCGCGGTCTGTGAGCAGTTTCAAAATGGCCGCGGGGGCTGGAAAATGTGAAAAAACGCATCTGCGCATGCGTCAGCTGCACGAGCCCCGTTCATATAAACGAGTGACTTCAAAAATTCACAGCGACTAAATTAGACTGGCCTAAACAAAATTCACCCCCCTCAGCATTGACACACATGTGGAACGGAGCTTTGGGCCAAGAGCCAACTTTTGGACCATCCTGTAAAGACGTTTTCAAGAGGTCTGCCAATGCTATATGTTAGCATTGGCTAATTCTACTTCCGGATCCACCCCCATCGGGCCCGGGGTGGTATTGCGCACGTCATTTTGGCCACTTTTGAGCCGGAACCCGCCCCCACTGGACAGAACAAATGCTTGAATCAGGAAATTCGCTCCAGATAGCTTATGGTCAAACAAGCTTCTTCTGCATTAAGGCTAACTCTAAAGGGACATCAAAAATCAGCCAGTACTCCTCATATACAGTCTCTGGTTAATGCACTGGATCTGGGGAAAAAAAACCCACTATATCCTGTAAATATCTGTCATTCATAGACAATATACACAATGCTGTTTTGTAATACTGATGAAAAGCAGTATGCTATGTGAAAGTATTAGCAACAATACAGGTATTAAAACAGTATTGTCACAGTGGAAGCATGAGCACAACAGGAAATATTACAACCACAGACATCCTTCCTGTTACACGGCATATTGTGACTTAATGTGTGGACCTTTGCACTGAAAGAACTCTATAAAAGTCTTGTTTTGATTTTAACCTGCAACCCAAGTCAATACATAGACCATTTTGTGTTGCTAATGTATGATGAAAATGATTATGCTACGCTGACCTGAACTTAAAGGTTTATGGGAGGATTCTCTACTTCCAGGTGGATCATAAAAACTATTGGTCTTCCCAATTGTCAATCATTCTGGTGATGCGTGCTCGTCAAGCAACCCGAACCCTAGACCCAAAGTGTAGCAGCTAATGCGGCTAAAACTACGGCTAACGGGGCTACCACAACACAGTCAGAGGAGGCTCTAAAGAGTCTGTTTCTGATGTAAAGCAACATTTTTGTGGGGGTCAGTAAAGTATAAATTCACAGCACTGAGGAGAGCCCACAGAGAAAGCAAGGAAGAGATTATTTTATTGTCAATGTTTTTAATGGGCTCTCTAATCGTGAATCATTTCGGCGATACGTACTCGTCAAATAAGACCAGAGTTTCTTTTAAAGAGTGGAGAGGGCTGTTCCATCCTAAAATTTTAGAAAATCCTCCTGTTTACCTTCAAGAATACTCATTGTATGTTTTGTTATCCTGTTTGTTTCCCAATGGTTCAGAATGTTCATGTTTTTATGTTATTGCTTATAGTATATGCTTCCTCCACAGTGTATTTTCTTTTTCCTGTCTTAAGTCCTTTGTCTATTGTACACACAGGGTATCTTCATGTAACTAAACCAATGCAACTGCAAATGGAAAATATACTGAATCTGAGTGTTGCCTAGCATTCTTTTTTTAATGAATGTAACTTATTAAATAGTATTAATGCTAACAGCCTGCGCGCTCCGGGTCAGTGCTGGCCGCCGTCTTTTTCAAGTTGATATCGCTTGTTTCTGTAGTCGCTGTTGTCATTTCTAGTTTTGGTGATAATTGTGTGTCCTCTGTTGTGGGAATGCATCGGTTTCTGTTGTTGCGGTGAGGCCTAGTGGTAGCCATGGCAACTACCTCATTATAATGTTCTATTGTAAAGCTGCCGTCCGAGTATTGAACCGATTCAGTTTGTCGCTGAGAAACCATTGTTACGTAACGCTTTAATGGTATTTTTGGTAGTTCACTTTTTGAGTCACAATATCTACTTTATCTATATAAAGTAGATATATAAACAACTACTATCTGTTGTAGTTGCCGTTGGTGACGTCAAGAGTTTGCGCCGAAAGTGCAGGTTGTAGTTTGGCAATGGCGAAGAACGCGATAGTAAAGTAATCCTGTCTGGTTCTATCAAGAAATTGAAGCCGTAGCAAGAAGAGTGTTTATCAAATGTAATCGCCGGTAAAGATCCCCACAGGTTCCGTTAGCGGCAAAGGAGATGGCTAGGCTAAATGCTAAAGCAATGCGAAATGCTAACGACTCACTCGGGCGCATTACATACGTCACAGTAAACTCAGATCCAATCGTTTCAATCTGCAAAAGGCGTTAACCCCTCCCACCTGTTCACGGAGCTCAACGGAGCCCCCCCCAGACCTTACGAAATGTCATTTGTACTATGGTGTGGTACGACCAGGCTACCTCATTGGGGCATCTTACTTGGGTTTTAGGCACTTTTTCTTAACCATTTTTTAAAGGCCTGTAATGAAAAATAAACTTGGGGTTCATTGTAGAAAAACCAAAGAAGAAAACAATACATTGCTTTCTTTAAGGAGTGAACATTAAAGGGTTAAGGGCAGAAGTGGAAATGTATGTACAAGTCTAAAACTTAAGGGCCAAGTTTAAGTGTTAGGCCTCGGTTTTATGTGACTTCATTTGAAAGACAAACTTGGGACGTCTTCATCTGATGTTGATATCAGAATCGGTCGTTGATGCGTATAAAAAAAAAAAAGCTTTAAAACCGTTTGCAAGGCCAAATCCAGACCCAAAGTGTAGCAGCTAGCCGCGGCTAAAACTACGGCTAACGAGGCTACAACAACACAGTCAGAGGAGGCTCTAAAGAGTCTGTTTGAGAGTCTGAGGTTACAGGATGTCCTGAGGGACCGACAGGCATTTTGGCACATATGAAACCATCTGTCATCACTTTGTTGGGATTACACAGATGTAAAGGTGAAGCACAACTCCGTAAATACTCTAGACTTTTATTCAATCATCAACGGTTATGTATAAAAGTGATTCATGTTTGTCATGGACTAAAACTATTCAGCAGAAGAAGCGATGAAGCCTTTACAGATCAAAAACATTTATAAAAAAGAACATTTACAAATCAACAGCCAACCGGTCGTGCACCGTTGGTTGTCAGGACAGAAAACAGGAAGTGACATACTGTACATATTACTCATTCCAACAGCAAACATGTCTGTGCTCAGCTGGTCTTCACAGAGAGTAGTAACAAAATACCATACCTTTATTCCATTATTAGTATTTACTTTGTTGCTTATTGCGTAAATACTGTTTTTAAATGTGGTATTTTACGAGTGTGTACAGATCTGTGTCCTTGCATTGATGGGACAGTGCAATATTGTCCTGACGTCGAGATGTCTTGTATGTTTGAGTCCAACAGCTCTGAGCCTAAGACTCATTTTCCTTTGGGGACATTACAGTCGGGCCTTGAACCTTGAACTTTAATCCGTCGTTAAAGACCGTGCGGCGGCTGCCATCTTGGATTTTGCTCCGAAGTTGCAGCCAGAATACCTCCATGTCCTTGGGCTTACCCTTTATCACAGCCCTCCAGGTTTGGTCAAGGATATAAAACAGTTTAAAAGATGTCTTCAGTGACACAGAGTGAGATGGAAGGAAGTTCTGCGTTTGGATTCAGATGCAGGACGTGTTCTGTGTTCATAGTTGACGATAGTCCAAAACATTGGTAGAAAGCCGTGTCTGTAGAGCAGGGCTGGGCAATTACTTTCTCCAGAGGGCCCCATCAGGACATTACATTACAAATGAAGGGTGTCCAAACATTTTAGAAAGAGGGCGAGACTTGTCCAGGGTCCGCCAACCAGGATTGAAAAACAGACTGGTTACGGGCTGTTGTAGACGTTCAGAATCATTTCCACTGAGTCACCATTTCATTCACTTTGACATGTGTCCTGCTGATGATCCAGAACCAGGACTTGGCTCTATGTGAAGAGGAAAAATAAACAGAAATCCTTTTTTTATTGAGGGACACCGATGCGTTTCGACCGGTTAGGTTTTCATCAGGGCAGACATGGCTCTATGTGGGTTTTATCATTACATTTCCTGTATTTGAATTGTTTGATTCTTTGATCTGTTGTCTGTGAATTGACAAGGAACAGACTTATCACTGGGACAGACAATCAGTGGGCCAGAGAGAGAGAGAGACCAGAGAGAGAGAGACCAGAGAGAGAGAGACCAGAGAGAGAGAGAGACAGGGGGAGAGACCAGAGAGAGAGAGAGAGACAGGGGGAGAGATCAGAGAGAGAGAGAGACAGGGGGAGAGATCAGAGAGAGAGAGAGACAGGGGGAGAGATCAGAGAGAGAGAGAGACAGGGGGAGAGGTCAGATAAAGAGAGACAGGGGGAGAGACCAGAGAGAGAGAGACAGAGAGAGAGACAGGGGGAGAGACCAGAGAGAGAGACAGGGGGAGAGACCAGATAGAGAGAGACAGGGGGAGAGATCAGAGAGAGAGAGAGACAGGGGGAGAGATCAGAGAGAGAGAGACAGGGGGAGAGATCAGAGAGAGAGAGAGACAGGGGGAGAGGTCAGATAAAGAGAGACAGGGGGAGAGACCAGAGAGAGAGAGACAGGGGGAGAGACCAGAGAGAGAGAGAGAGAGACAGGGGGAGAGATCAGAGAGAGAGAGAGAGAGACAGGGGGAGAGACCAGAGAGAGAGACAGGGGGAGAGACCAGAGAGAGAGAGACAGGGGGAGAGACCAGAGAGAGAGAGAGACAGGGGGAGAGACCAGAGAGAGAGACCAGATAGAGAGAGACAGTGGGAGAGACCAGAGAGAGAGAGACAGGGGGAGAGATCAGAGATAGACCAGAGAATGAGACCAGAGAGAGAAAGACTATCACAGAGACACACTATCAATTGAATGTATTTGTGTATAGCCCTAAATCCCAACACTGGGTCTCTCACTTTAAGCAAATCGTTCAATCATAAGCAATGTACTGATAGAAAACCATTGGTCCATAAGAAGCAGAGACCGATGTCCTTAAACCTTGAGTGTCCTGGATCATCACCACTGTCCTTGGAGCCTTCTGCATCGGGAAGAAACGACTCTAAAAACCCAGTGGGAGAAAAGTGAGAAACCCTCACTCCACAGACGCCACGGGGCAGATGATCAGCGGCCCCTCGTTGCGTCCGGACTTGTTGGTGCAGGGGCTGAAGAAGGGCAAGATGACGTCGCTGAAGCGGTTGCTGTAGGTGTAGATGAGGACTCTGGCGTCCACGTTGTAGAAGGACACGGTCCCTTTGTCGTAGTCCAAGAAGACGCCGATGCGGGACGGGCGCTGGCTGACCGTGAGCGCCGTGGACGGCTCGGTCCTGAACGCATAGTCCACGTTGTCGCGCAAACTCAGGAACCAGTAACCATGCGCCGGGCTCACCGTGATCTTGCCCTTTCTGACCACGGAGCGAGACGCCACGCCCAGGTCCCAGTCCGTCTTACTGCCAACCTCTATCTGCAACACACACGGGAAGAACCAGGGTCGGGTTGTTATAGAATGTTGGAGATTCTTATCCTGCATCTGTCTTCATCTCTTACTGCTCTCTCCAAACTGTAACTCGAGTCCTGACTAGTACCATCATATTACTCCTGACTAGAACCAGGAAGTACCATCACATTAGTCCTGGTCTCAGGTCTCTGCTTCCTGTTGCTCAGAGACTAGACTTTAAAGCAGCTCTGATTGTTACAAGCCTCTCCAGGGCCTCAAACCAAAGTACATCTGTGACATGTTAGTGATGAACCAACTCTGAGGAGCACAGACTGGCCTCCTGCAGTTCCCAGATTCACTAAACTAAACTAGCATTTCAGATTTATGCAGCTAAAATCTTGGACATTCTTCCTGAAAATGTGAGACAGGCTTCTTCTCTGACAATGTTCAAATCCAGGTTTCTGTTTAGCTTCAGCAACTGAAGGATTGTATCTTTACTTTACTATTTTGAATGCCTTGTGTGATTTTAATGTTTATTTTCTTGTTAGCACTTCAGAATTTTTTTTTTCCATGTAAGTAACAGGAAGTCAGAAAGTAGGACATTTTTTTGGGGTAAGAGTAGAGAAGGAAAAAGGCATATTAAAACATTTCGAAAGTATAAAAATGTCTAAAATATAAAGAATTAAAAAGTACAATTGTTACGATTATCACTATATTTGTATTTTTATGTTTTTACGGATTTAATGTTTATCTTCTTGTTAGCACTTTGAGTTTCCATGTGTACTGTATATACTGTGCTACACCAGAATACTTAATAAATAAACTCAATAAATGCGCAACTTAAATAATAAACTTCTTTTACTCCAAACACTTCAGGTCCCATGTGGTGTCTCTGTCTTGATCTACATTTTTGCCAAAAAAAAGTAAACAAGGTTATATAAAAGTGCTGCCCCCACCTCCCAGTAGTGGCGCCCGCAGTCGAAGCCCTCCCTGCCCAGAGCACAGACCACACGGTCGAAGCGCTCGGGGCTGTCAGGGACCGGATGGTGCCGCTCTCCACAAAACACCTGCTTCCCGTCCAAAGAGACCACCAGGCGAGGGTGAGCCGTGTTGGGGTCCAGGGTGATGTCCTCTGAGGGGGGTGGGGGAGGAGAGGGACCAGGGGAGAGGGGAGGGACCATGAGGGAGAGGAGAGGGACCAGGGGGAGAGAGAGAGGGAGAGGAAAGGGACAAGAGGGAGAGAAGAAGGACCAGGGAAAATGTGTGAGTTATGTTTGTTGTTTCTGTTATTTTACAATCAGTGAGAGAGACCAGAGAGAGAGAACAGAGAGAGACCAGAGAGAACAGAGAGAGAGATCAGAGAGAGACAGAGAGAGAACAGAGAGAGATCAGAGAGAGACCAGAGAGAGAGATAGACCAGAGTGAGAACAGAGAGAGAACAGAGAGAGATCAGAGAGAGACCAGAGAGAGAACAGAGAGAGAGAGAGAGAGACCAGAGAGAGAACAGAGAGAGACCAGAGAGAGACCAGAGAGAGACCAGAGTGAGAGAGACCAGAGAGAGAACAGAGAGAGATCAGAGAGAGAACAGAGAGAGATCAGAGAGAGACCAAAGAGAGACAGAGACCAGAGTGAGAGAGAACAGAGAGAGAACAGAGAGAGACCAGAGAGAGAGAGAGACCAGAGTGAGAGAGACCAGAGAGAGAACAGAGAGAGACCAGAGAGAGAGAGAGACCAGAGTGAGAGAGACCAGAGAGAGAACAGAGAGAGATCAGAGAGAGAGAGAGACCAAGAGAGAGAGAGAGAGGTAGAGTAGTAGTACAGCTATGACTGCCACCCCCCGACCCAGAAATGGATTAAGGGAAGAGGATGAATGAAGGGAGACAGTAGAGAAACAGAGAGAGACAGAGAGACCAGAGAGAGAACCAGAGAGAGACCAGAGAGAGAGAGAGACCAGAGAGAGAGAGAGACAGAGAGAGACCAGAGAGAGAGAGAGACCAGAGAGAGACCAGAGAGAGACCAGAGAGAGACCAGAGAGAGAGACCAGAGAGAGAGACCAGAGAGAGAGAACAGAGAGAGACCAGAGAGAGAGAGAGAGACCAGAAAGAGAACAGAGAGAGAACAGAGAGAGAACAGAGAGAGATCAGAGAGAGACCAGAGAGAGAACAGAGAGAGACCAGAGAGAGAGAGAGAGACCAGAGAGAGAGAGAGAGACCAGAGAGAGAACAGAGTGAGAACAGAGTGAGAACAGAGAGAGAACAGAGAGAGACCAGAGAGAACAGAGTGAGAACAGAGTGAGAACAGAGAGAGACCAGAGAGAGACAGAGAGACCAGACTGAGAGAGAGACCTAGAGAGAGATAGAGAGAGACCAGAGAGAGACTAGAGAGAGACTAGAGAGACAGCAGAGAGAGACCAGTGAGAGAGACAGGAGAGAGACCAAAGAAGAGAGACCAGAGAGAGACCAGAGAGAGACCAGAGAGAGACCAGAGAGAGACCAGAGAGAGACCAGAGAGAGACCAGAGAGAGAGACCAGAGAGAGACTAGAGAGAGACCAGAGAGAGACCAGAGAGAGACCAGAGAGAGATAGAGAGAGACCAGAGAGAGACCAGAGAGAGACCAGAGAGAGACTAGAGACAGACCAGAGAGAGACCAGAGAGAGACCTAGAGAGAGACCAGAGAGAGACAGAGAGAGACTAGAGAGAGACTAGAGAGAGACCAGGAGACCAGAGAGAGACCAGAGAGAGACCAGAGAGAGACCAGAGAGAGACCAGAGAGAGAGACCAGAGAGAGACCAGAGAGAGACCAGAGAGAGACCAGAGAGAGACCAGAGAGAGAGACCAGAGAGACCAGACCAGAGAGACCAGAGAAGACCAGAGAGAGGGACCAGAGAGAGACCAGAGAGAGAGACCAGAGAGAGACCAGAGAGAGACCAGAGAGAGACCAGAGAGAGACCAGAGAGGAGACCAGAGAGAGACCAGAGAGAGACCAGAGAGAGACCAGAGAGAGACCAGAGAGAGACCAGAGAGAGAGACCAGAGAGAGACCAGAGAGAGACCAGAGAGAGACCAGAGAGAGACCAGAGAGAGACCAGAGAGACCCAGAGAGAGACAGAGACCAGAGAGAGATCAGAGAGAGACAGAGAGAGACTAGAGAGAGACTAGAGAGAGACCAGAGAGAGACCAGAGAGAGACTAGAGAGAGACCAGAGAGACCAGAGAGAGACCAGAGAGACCAGAGAGGACCAGAGAGAGACCAGAGAGAGACCAGAGAGAGACCAGAGAGAGACCAGAGAGAGACCAGAGAGAGACCAGAGAGAGACCAGAGACAGACCAGAGAGAGACCAGAGACAGACCAGAGAGAGATCAGAGAGGGACCAGAGAAAGACCAGAGAGAGAGACCAGAAATAGAGACCAGAGAGAGACCAAAGAGAGACAAGAGAGAGACCAGAGAGAGACCAGAGAGAGAGAGCAGAAATAGAGACCAGAGAGAGACCAAAGAGAGACAAGAGAGAGACCAGAGACAGACCAGAGAGAGACCAGAGAGAGAGAGCAGAGACAGACCAGAGAGGGACCAGAGAGGGACTAGAGAGACGAGAGAGAGACTAGAAGAAAAGAGACAAGAGAGAGAGAAATTTGAGAGAGACCAGAGAGAGACCAGAGTGAGAGAAAGTTAAAAAAAAGGCCTTCTGCCTGTAACTCATAAGCAGTTACAAGCTGCTGCCACCAGAGGGAGCCACAAACACATACACAAAATTACCAAAACTAATTCATGGGCAAAACTTCCTCATCAAACAGTTACAGGACTGAGACTGGAGCTTTTAGACGGAAGGGGCGGAGCTACATGTGAGCGTGGATGGATCTAAACACATCTGCAGGTCTGTGACTGAGGAGGAACAATGGTGGTCCCCTTTAATGCCGTCGTGATGCTCTGAACCTGTGAGCGAGTGGGCAGCGTGACAACCGCATCCGCATCACCACGGCAACCGCCTCCAGGCCCAGCACTCACAGCGCTCTATTGTAGTAGTGTGTAGCAGTAGTGTTACTAGTAGTAGTATGTGTAATAGTAGTAGTAAAAGTATTAGTATTAGTAGTAGTAGTAGTATGAGCATATTTATTAGCAGTTGTAGTAGCAGTAGTGGTAGTATCTGCTGTAGTACTAGGATGTAGAGTAGTATTTGTATTTGAGTTTAGATACAGATCAGTATTTCATAAAAAAAAAAAAACATTGACTTTGAATCAAGTTTTTTTTCTTTTCTTTCAATTTCAATCAAATGTTTTTCTTGTATGTATTTCTTGAACAGTTTTCTCTCAGAGGACGTCACAGATGTCGATTCACCAACAGCAGATCAGAGAATCAGACGGAAGTGCAGAAACACACAGAGACCTGTGTCCATAAATGTGCTGACTACAGTTCTCTGGTCTTGATTCAGGTCCAGGTCAAACTCTGGTCTGGCTCAAGTCTCAGCCTGGTCCTGATCTGGCTCTGGTCCTTGTCCTGCTCTGGTCTTGGTCCGGGTCTGGCTGTAGTCTCTATACCTAGTCCTGGAATTGGCTCTGGTCTCGGTTTGGTCCTGGTCTGGCTCTGGTCTGCTCCTGGTATTGGTCCTGGTCCTGGTCTGGTCCTGGCCTAGCTCTGGTCTGCTCCTGGTATTGGTCCTGGTCTGGCTCTGGTCTGCTCCTGGTATTGGTCCTGGTCCTGGTCTGGACCTGGTCTGGCTCTGGTCTGCTCCTGGTATTGGTCCTGGTCCTGGTCTGGTCCTGGTCTAGCTCTGGTCTGCTCCTGGTATTGGTCCTGGTCTGGCTCTGGTCTGCTCCTGGTATTGGTCCTGGTCCTGGTCTGGTCCTGGTCTGGCTCTGGTCTGCCCCTGGTATTGGTCCTGGTCTTGGTCTGGTCATGGTCTGGCTCTGGTCTACTCCTGGTATTGGTCCTGGTCCTGGTCTGGTCCTGGTCTGGCTCTGGTCTGCTCCTGGTATTGGTCCTGGTCCTGGTCTGGCTCTGGTCTGCTCCTGGTATTGGTCCTGGTCCTGGTCTGGACCTGGTCTGGCTCTGGTCTACTCCTGGTATTGGTCCTGGTCCAGGTCTGTATTTTAAAGCAGACATCAAAGAGCCTCATGTTCCCTGAGTCTGAGCCTTGGCCTCAGCTGTTTCACCAGAGCCTCTCAGTCCTGCAGCTTCAAACTGCGGCTCGAGCAGCAACCCGCCTCCTCCTCTTCACCTCTGACTAAATAAAACAAGGTCTTAAAGCTGGGGTCTGTAACTTTAGTCTCATGAAAACATGCAGTGTGTCCACAGGAAGAGTTCTCTTTTGTTTGAGAAAGATCCCTGTGAGTCATGATTTGACTCTTTGGGCTGAGAGCTGATTGGCTGAGAGAAGGTGGTCCTCTCTTTGTCACTTTTCTGTCTAAAAAATCTGATCTAAAGATGTGAGACAGAAATACAGAAAACTAGGGATAGAACTATGACCGAGAGCTGCACAATTCCAGGGACTAGAAACCAGAGGGAGACCAGAGAGAGACCAGAGAGACCAGAGAGAGAGCAGAGAGAGACCAGAGAGAGACCAGAGAGAGACCAGAGAGAGACCAGAGAGAGAGACCAGAGAGAGACCAGAGAGAGACCAGAGAGACCAGAGAGAGACCAGAGAGAGACCAGAGAGAGACCAGAGAGAGAGAGCAGAGAGAGACCAGAGAGAGACCAGAGAGAGACCAGAGAGAGACCAGAGAGAGAGACCAGAGAGAGACCAGAGAGAGACCAGAGAGACCAGAGAGAGAGCAGAGAGAGACCAGAGAGAGACCAGAGAGACCAGAGAGAGACCAGCAAGAGAGACCAGAGAGAGACCAGAGAGAGACCAGAGAGACCAGCGAGAGACCAGAGAGAGACCAGAGAGAGACCAGCAAGAGAGACCAGAGAGAGACCAGAGAGACCAGCGAGAGACCAGCGAGAGACCAGAGAGAGACCAGAGAGAGACCAGCGAGAGACCAGAGAGAGACCAGAGAGAGACCAGCAAGAGAGACCAGAGAGAGACCAGAGAGAGACCAGAGAGACCAGCGAGAGACCAGAGAGAGACCAGAGAGAGACCAGCAAGAGAGACCAGAGAGAGACCAGAGAGAGACCAGAGAGACCAGCAAGAGACCAGAGAGAGACCAGAGAGAGACCAGAGAGAGACCAGCGAGAGACCAGCGAGAGAGACCAGAGAGACCAGAGAGAGACCAGCGAGAGACCAGAGAGAGACCAGAGAGAGACCAGCGAGAGAGACCAGAGAGAGACCAGAGAGAGACCAGAGAGAGACCAGAGAGAGACCAGAGAGACCAGAGAGAGACCAGAGAGAGACCAGAGAGAGACCAGCAAGAGAGACCAGAGAGAGACCAGAGAGACCAGCGAGAGACCAGAGAGAGACCAGAGAGAGACCAGCGAGAGAGACCAGAGAGACCAGAGAGAGACCAGAGAGAGACCAGCGAGAGACCAGAGAGAGACCAGAGAGAGACCAGAGAGACCAGAGAGAGACCAGAGAGAGACCAGAGAGACCAGCGAGAGACCAGCGAGAGACCAGAGAGACCAGAGAGAGACCAGCGAGAGACCAGAGAGACCAGAGAGAGACTAGAGAGAGACCAAAGAGAGACTAGAGAGAGACTAGAGAGAGACCAGAGAGAGACTAGAGAGAGACCAGAGAGAGACTAGAGAGAGACCAGAGAGAGACTAGAGAGAGACTAGAGAGAGACTAGAGAGAGACCAGAGAGAGACTAGAGAGAGACCAGAGAGAGACCAGAGAGAGACTAGAGAGAGACTAGAGAGAGACCAGAGAGAGACCAGCGAGAGAGACCAGAGAGACCAGAGAGAGACCAGAGAGAGACCAGAGAGAGACCAGAGAGACCAGAGAGAGACCAGAGAGAAACCAGAGAGAGACCAGAGAGACCAGAGAGAGACCAGAGAGAGTCCAGAGAGAGACCAGTGGGTTTTAGAGCAGAGTTCTATTTTAGTTTAATGTTACATGCACCAAAAGTAAAAAGTGAATTGCTTTTTTATGAGATTGTTTCAGGAATTACAGAAAAATTGGCTCAAAATGAAGATGAGAATCTGATGTTTGACAGTTACCATTGTTACCATTGTTATCATTGTTACCATAGCTACCATCGTTACCATCGTTACCAGGAAACTCCAGCACAACATGAAACCACAGGCTCTTGAGGTTATTATTATGATTCACTTGAACTGAGTGCTCTGCTCCTGCACTGAGCCTCCAGTCCCTGCACCCAGCTGCTGTTCGTGCTGCAACCCTCCTCCTCCCATCACCGCCTCTTCTGTGGATAACTGCCATGCTATCTACTCAGCTTCACCGCCAGGGTCTAGACCTTAGGATAGTCCAGCGCCAGGGTCTAGACCTCAGGGGAGTCCAGCACCAGTGTCTAGACCTCAGGGGAGTCCAGCACCAGTGTCTAGACCTCAGGGGAGTCCAGCACCAGGGTCTAGACCTCAGGGGAGTACAGCACCAGTGTCTAGACCTCAGGGGAGTCCAGCACCAGGGTCTAGACCTCAGGGGAGTCCAGCACCAGTGTCTAGACCTCAGGGGAGTCCAGCACCAGGGTCTAGACCTCAGGGGAGTCCAGCACCAGGGTCTAGACCTCAGGGGAGTACAGCACCAGTGTCTAGACCTCAGGGGAGTCCAGCACCAGGGTCTAGACCTCAGGGGAGTCCAGCACCAGGGTCTAGACCTCAGGGGACTCCAGCACCAGGGTCTAGACCTCAGGGGACTCCAGCACCAGGGTCTAGACCCGGTGGTTCCCTCATGGAGACGTCATAAAACGCGTGTGGCCAGTTTGATGTTCAAATGCAGTAAAGTCTGACACAAACAGAATAAATGACACTAAATGTAGATTTTACACTTGTTTCTTTTTTACGCTAAAGTATTATTTTCTCGTGCACTTTCCCAAAACCATAGATGCTTCTCACCGCCTCAAGCTGATGTACTTCAAATAAAACTTAAAAGTTGTCTCTCTCTCTCTGTGTTCTCTCTGGTCTCTAGTCTCTCTCTGGTCTTTCTCTGTTTTTTGTCTCTCTCTGGTTTCTCTCTCTCTGCTCTCTCTCTCTCACACTGGTCTCACTCTCTCTCTCTGCTCTCTCTCTCTCTATGGTCTCTCTCACACGCTATCTTTCTCTCACACTCTGCTCTCTCCCTCTGGTCTTTCACACTCTGCTCTCTCTCACTGGTCTCTCTCTCTCTCTCTATGGTCTCTCTCACACTGGTCTCTCTCTCTCTCTCCACTCTCTTTCTTTCTGAGAGAAAGAGAGCGGAGAGAGAGAGAGAGACCAGACCACTCTGCTCTCTCCCTCTGGTCTCTCACACTCTGCTCTCTACCTCTGGTCTCTCTCTCTCTCCCTCAGCTCTCTCTGCTCTCTCCCTCTGGTCTCTCACACTCTGCTCTCTACCTCTGGTCTCTCTCTCTCTCCCTCAGCTCTCTCTGCTCTCTCTCTCAGCTCTCTCTGCTCTCTCTCTCTCACTGGTCTCCCTCTCTCTCTCTATGGTCTCTCTCTCTGCTCTCTCGCTCAGCTCCCTCTGCTCTCTCTCTGCACTTCCACACCTCCTCCCCGTCCCTTCTGACCCACTTCTACCGAGAACTAGTTGCTTCTTACCGCCTCCCACTTGTTAACCCTTCGCGCTCCGCTCTCGCATTCCTCCACAGCTGCAGTTCTGAATCCTTCTTCCTCTTCTTCCTCTTCTTCTCTCCCGCTACAATTGCACCTGTTATATCTGTTCTTCACACCGCCAGGCATTTATAATTGATAGATGGAGCCTGTTATGTAATGCACAACCACCGCCTCCAATGCAGATACCGCCAGAGCATCACGCACACACACACGCACACGCACGCACACACACACACACACACACACACAATACAAAGAAATAACACATAACACATTTTGGTATTTCTGCTCGTGTTGAGTTACGTGGACGTCATATTTCAACCACGTCCTGAAACGATTGCTGCATTTCATTTATTTTTAATCTAGCCGTACACGTACCAGTACCGTTCCCCCAGTATGTCTGATGAGCAAACTTTAAACAGTGCTAATTCTAAAAATAAATGGGGAAAAAATAGACCACGGACATCGCATACAAAAGCCGTCCATCTCTCACGCCTAAAAACGCCACAGCAAAGCCCAGGGATTGGTCGCTGTGGAAATGTATTTATATTTATCCATGTGTGGATTTAAAGTGGTGTGATGGGAGCCTCTTACCCAGATCTGTGGAGGAATCCGCGGTGCTCTCACGTCCGCTCCATGATCGCGGATGTGGGGGCAGTGATGTGGAGGATGCTGGGCCGCCTCACGGGGCTCGGTTCGCGGCGTGGATCATGCTTGTATCCCGCGGGTGTGGAGCTGGTGTTTCTCTCTTTCTCTGTGTGTGTTTCCTCCTGGAGATGATGAAGACGAGGAGGAGGAGGTGCTGGAGGAGCCGCAAGAGTCTCCACGTCGATCATGAGCGGTTGCCAGGGCGACGCCAGAGCCCGCCCCCCGGAGGCTGTGATTGGAGGATAGATTCGCGGAGTGGGTTTTTCTCACCTGAGCTTTGAAATGTTTTATTGCGTGTCGTGTTGTCCGGTGTTGGGGAAAGCCGTGTCTGTATTTAAAGCTGGTGTGCGTAACTTTCTAAACGTACCAGGTGACAGCTCCTCCCGCAGAATTAAACTTCAAACAGACTTCCTGCAGCTTTGTGGAAGTGACGGGACTCATGCAGCGTTTCAGCTGAGGTATGAGACTTTAAAGCTGGGGTACATAACTTTGAAGTTTCTCTCAGGTCTTTCTTTCTGGTCTCTCTCTATCTGGTCCCTCTCCCTGTCTCCATCTGGTCTCTCTCTTGTCTCTCTCTCTGGTCTCTCTCGTTGGTCTCTCTGGTCTATCTTTCTCCGGTCTTTCTCTGCTGTTCTTCCTCTGGTCTCTCTCGCTGCTCTCTCTCTCTCTGGCCTAGTCTCTCTCTGATTTCCCTCTAGTCTCTCTCTGGTCTCTCTCCGGTCTCTCTGGTCTCCCTCTCTTTCTGGCCTAGTCTCTCTCTCTCTGGTCTCCCTCTGGTCTCTCTCGCTGCTCTCTCTCTCTCTGGCCTAGTCTCTCTCTGGTCTCCCTCTCTCTCTGCTCTCTCTCTCTGGTCTCCCTCTGGTCTCTCTCTGGTCTCCCTCTCTCTCTGCTCTCTCTCTCTGGTCTCCCTCTGGTCTCTTTCTGGTCTCTCTCTGGTCTCTCTCTCTCTCTCTCTCTCTCTCTCTCTCTCTCTGGTCTCTCCCCTTTCCAGCACATGAAATGACAAAGTAAATAGTCTCGTTATCGTTTCTAATGGACAATAATGAACAATGTGATGTTTCTCTTTGAGGTCTGTGATGTCGCATGTTGTGAATGATTGTGTGACGGAGGCGTGTCGTTGTTACTGATTACACTGGCTCCAAAGATCACATCAGCAGCGGCCGGCAGCCAATCAGAGAGCAGGGATCAGAGGCCACAGACGCCCAGGGACCAGCGAGGTGAGTGGGACCAGAGGGACGTTTGAGCCCTTAAAGCTGGGGTACGCAACTTTAATCTCATAAGGAACAATGTGAACAAATCCGACCACTACACATGGTCTCCAACTGAAGTGAAACATGGTATCTTTGGTGTAAGAAAGAGCTCTTTGAGAGCGGATTGGCTGACTCTCTGATCTCTTTCTGGTCTCTCTCTCCGATTTGTCTCTGGTCTCTCAATGGTCTTTTTGGTCTCTCTTTCTCTCTCTCCGGTCCCCGATGGTCTCTCTCTGGTCTTTCGCAGTAGTCTCTCTCTGGTACCTCTGGTCCCTCTCTCTGGTCTCTCTCTCTGGTCTCTCTCTGGTCCCTCTGGTCTCTCTCTAGTCCCCCTGGTCCCTCTCTCTGGTCTCTCTCTGGTCCCTCTGGTCTCTCTCTCTGGTCCCTCTCTCTGGTGTCTGGTCTCTTTCTGGTCCCTCTAGTCTCTCTCTCTGGTCTCTCTCCGGCCCGTCTGGTCCCTCTCTTTGATATCTCTCTGGTCCCTCTCTCTGGTCCCTCTCTCTGGTCTCTCTCTGGTCTCTCTGGTCTCTCTCTCTCTGGTCTCTCTGGTCTCTCTCTCTCTGGTCTCTCTGGTCCCCCTGGTCCCTCTCTCCGGTCCCTTTGGTCTCTCGCTCTGGTCCCTCTCTCTGGTGTCTGGTCTCTCTCTGGTCCCTCTCTGGTCTCTCTCTGGTCCCTCTGGTCTCTCTCTCTGGTCCCTCTGGTCCCTCTCTCTGGTCTCTCTCTCTGGTCTCTTTCTGGTCCCTCTGGTCTCTCTCTGGTCCCTCTCTCTGGTCTCTCTCTGGTCCCTCTCTCTGGTCTCTTTCTGGTCTCTCTCCCTTGCTCTCTTTATGGCAGTTTTGGATTATTCCAGGAATTACAGAGAAACCCTCTCTAAACTAAGAATCTAACTTTGAACTCTTACCACAGTTACCATAGTTACCATAGTTACCATAGTTACCAGGAGAGATGTTTCTGCACACCTCCACCACAATGTGAAACTATATGTGTCTCTTTGGGTCGTGTGATGTCACATGAAACGCAAACTATTACGAGAAACATGTGACTTTGCAGGATCTGTGTTGTTCAGAAAGTGTTGTTGTTGTGTCTCAGAATGCCGTGCAGACTCCTCCCCTTCGCCCTGGTCAGTCCTCTTCGTCCTCATCATCCTCTTCATCAGCGCTCTCTCTGCTCCCTGGCCTCTGCTCCGCCCTCCACACCTCATGGACTACGTTACCCATCATCCAGTGGGGGCAGGAAGTACCGCACACAGCAGCAGGACATCGCTCCAGCTCAAGTCGACCAGATCCTGAGAGTACGTGAATGCTAACCTCGCTCAATGCTAACACACTAGCTAGCAGTGGGTTAGCACCAGAGCGAGACCAGAGCGAGACCAGAGGGAGACCAGAGGGAGACCAGAGGGAGACCAGAGGGAGACCAGAGGGAGACCAGAGGGAGACCAGAGGGAGACCAGAGGGAGACCAGAGGGAGACCAGAGGGAGACCAGAGGGAGACCAGAGAGAGAGAGACCAGAGAGAGAGAGACCAGAGAGAGAGAGACCAGAGAGAGAGAGACCAGAGAGAGAGAGACCAGAGAGAGAGAGACCAGAGAGAGAGGGAGCAGAAAGAGAGGGAGCAGAAAGAGAGACCAGGGATGGATCCGAGAGAGACCATAGAGAGACTAGAGAGAGAGAGAGGGACCAGAGAGGGACCAGAGAGGGACCAGAGAGGGACCAGAGAGGGACCAGAGAGGGACCAGAGAGGGACCAGAGAGGGACCAGAGAGGGACCAGAGAGGGACCAGCTGTTTTGCCTTTTCTATGATCCTGATAATTCTTCCTCATTAAGGCGAACTCTTTGGTGATGTCACACTCCTGATATACGACCTGTGCTTCAGGCCAACGAGCAGAGCCACACCTTTCCCAAGGGCTCGGCGTGTCATGGCGTCCTGGGTTTCCATAGCAACACATTGGCGTCCAACCAGCCGAGCGAGGACCGGCGCAGCGCTGCCACCTGCCTGGCGGGGCGGGGCGCGCTCATGTTTGGGGTGTTTGACGGACACGACGGTTCGGCGTGCGCTCAGGCCGTCAGCCACAGACTCTTCTACTACATGGCCGTGGCCGCGCTGCCGCTGAGGATTCTGGGAGAGATGGAGAACGCCGCGGAGGAGGAGAGGCCCGCCCCGCCGCTGCTGGAGTGGCACCGACACCCGAGCGACCCGAGCGAGCTGGGGTACGGCAGCAGCGTGCAGAGCCTCCGGACCTACTGGCAAGACCGTCTGCAGCAGGAGGAGGAGGTGCGAGACCAGGACCGAGACCAGGACTGAGACCAGGACCGAGACCAGTATCAAGACTAATGTCTAAAGTTCATCATGCCTTGTGTTTATTGGTTAGAAGATTCTTAAGCCTGGTTCTCACGGCAGGATAATTAGGCCGATTTTGGACCCGATTTACCCCGACGACAGTCGTAAGAACGCTCTGAATATCGTAACAATAAATCTGATGGTTTTTCCATGTGTGGTGTGTTCAGACTGTGCTCGTCGCTCGAAGGACTTCTCCGATCTCAATATCGGGGATATCCAACATGTTGGATTGTTTTGGCCCGATTTCTCTTCGTGTGTGGTGTCCCCCGAGGACAGACGAATATGTTGCCATGACTGCGGCGTGTAGCCAATCAGAGGACGAGGTGACGAGGCGGCGAGGAAAGACCGTAAAAAAAACACCTCCAGATCGTCCACCATGATTGTTTACTCTGAAGTCACGTTTGATCTCGCGAGATTTTGTGAGATTTCCGTCTGACCTGTGAATGCTCGGGGGAGAAATCGGTTCGTGTGTGATGTGTGTGGTTTGTGTTATTTTGCCGTGCGGCTGCACCACACACTGTACGACCGGAGGTTAGACCCATGATGTTTTATCTCCGTGTGTGGGGTCTCGCACAGAGAAAAAATCGGCCGACAATTTTAAAATCGTCTCGTGTGAACCAGGCTTTAGACAAAGTGTAACGAAGCTCGTACTGTTTAATGTCCACATGTTTTGGTTGAGAGACTTCTGCCTTGTGTCTGATGTTGATACTGGATGTAGTCAGTCTGACTGAATCCGTCAGAGGAAATTATACTTCTTTATACTTTTTTCTTATTAATAGAACCTTCAAAGCCTTATTAGGATTGAGACCAGTTCTGAGACCGCGACTGAGTCTGTAGACTAGGACTGATACTCGAACCTGAGGACCATTCTCCTGTAACCGTGTATTTGTGTGTGTGTGTGTGTGTTTACATGTGTGTGTGTGTGTGTGTGTGTGTGTGTGTCCAGGATGAGGTCAGTGTCAGTGCGGGGCTGGTCAGTGCCTTCAAACGTCTGGACTTCGACATCTCGGTGGAGGCTCAGGTCCATCTCTCCAGGTCCGTAGAAAAAAAACACTTCAACACATTATCATTTCTTCTTCTTCTTCTTCTGAGGTTTGTGTGGCTGCACAGAGACATTTATCCAATTTAAAATGTTTTGGAACTTCACACAAACTCCACAGACTCCTACTTCTCTTTTTTCTCCATGTTCATCTCTGTTCCTCGTCAGAATAGCACTGGGCCCAAAACACACCCCTGTGGAACGCCGGCCACTTTACGTGCACACACTGTAAACTTGTCTCTGTCCTACATGTTCCAACACTGTTCATCGTTACAGACCTGCAGTTGTGTTTGGCTCCATCCACACTACTATCATCGACTGGAAACCCCCACCCTTCTGAGATAATACTCTTTTCAAACTTGCTACACAGTGATAGATCCTCACACTATGATGTCATGGTTCTTTAATTATATAAAGCAGGAAGTAATTTTCTATTTCTTGGGCTGAGTGTGACATCACCATAGTGTTAGCCTAAACGCAGAAGCAGCTGATTTGGAGATAAGCTAGCCTACGCCAATTTGTTTTGACTGAGTTAGCCTCACATCGCAACAGGGGGAGACGTGTTGCTAAGACGGTTGCTAAGGCAAGCTGGCGTTTCCCCTAAAAATGAAGGCCTCTGATTCAACATAAACTACAGATTTGTTTTAAATCGCAAAATGGTGAGTGTGACCCGGTTACTGAGCTGGAGGACTTTTCAATGTAAGTCAATAGCAGCCAGAACGAGTTGGAGCGAAACTTCACCACGAGCACTTCCCTATTGGACTTCATTAAGTTAGCAAGTTTGCATTGAGCTAGCATGTTACCATTGTCCATCTATATACAGGCTATGATATTGCCCAAATCTCAAAGCCAATTATAGTAAATGTATATAGGAGTTTCTACTTCCGGGTGGATCATCAAGACTATTGGTCCTCCCAGTTGTCAATCATTCATGTAGAATAAGACCAGAGAGTTTTCTTAAAATGGTGGAGAGGGCGGTTGTTTCCTATAAACCTTTATGTAAAAAATCTTCTCTCTCATAACTTTTTGTTCACTGTTGTTTTCATGTGTTCTCCTCAGGGGCCTCAGCAGCAGCGCGGGGCCTCTGCAGGTGGCCCTCTCCGGGTGCACGGCCTGCGTGGCGCTGGTCTCTCAGGGGACCCTCCACGTGGCGAACCTGGGGGACAGCCGGGCGGTGCTGGGGGTGCAGGACGAGGACGGGGGCTGGTCGGCCCAAAGCCTCAGCCACGACCACAACGCAGACAACCCCCACGAGCTGCAGCGCATCCTGGGGGAGCACCCGGCCAGCGAGAGGCGTGCGCTGGTGCGGCACGAGAGGCTGCTGGGACTGCTGCTGCCCTTCAGGTACGCGCACCACAGCTTGGCAAACCCTGCGCCAAAGGACATGTGTCTGAGATTAAAGCTGGGGTACGGAACTTCAAAGTATGTAACAGACCACAACATTAGAACTCTGATCGAAACTTGTGACAATGACATTGTTAGAAAGTTTTAGAGCAAAACAGTTCATACAGACTGAGACCAGGACCGGGACCGAGGTCCAGACCAGGACCGAGTCCAGGACTGGCCAGTGCTTGTGTAGTCCTTGTGACTCTGGTCAATGAAACACGCTATATAATAATTACTTACTAGGTCTGGGTTTGGACCTGGGTTAGCTTCTCTCCTTGACTCATTGCTTTTGCAGATGCTTACCTCTATCTGGTCTCTCTCACTGGTCTCTCTCTCACAGGTCTCTCTCTGGTGTCTCTCTCTGGTCTCTCTCTCTCTAGTCTCTCTCTGGTCTCTCTCTGGTCTCTCTCTGGTCTCTCTGGTCTCTCTTTGGTCCCTCACTGGTCTCTCACTGGCCCCACTCACTGGTCTCTCTCTGGTCTCTCTGGTCTCTCTTTGGTCCCTCCTGGTCTCTCACTGGCCCCACTCACTGGTCTCTCTCCGGTCTCTCTCTCTAGTCTTTTTCTGGTCTCTCTGGTCTCTGCTTGTACCGTGAGTTTCTTTATGGTATGTACTCGTCACGTTTGACCGTATACAGTGTTTAGTGTGGAGTTTCAGAGTCGGGTTTGGACTTGAAGCTGGTCTGGGTCTGGACTTTGTGTTAGCTTCTCTCCTTGTGTTCCAGGAGCTTCGGTGATGTTCGGTTCAAGTGGAGCGGGGACTTGCTGCGGCATGTCCCAGACGTCCTGGTCCCTCCTCACTACCACACTCCTCCGTACCTCAGCGCTCAGCCGGAGGTCACTCAGCACCACATTAGACCCAGGGACAAGTTCCTGGTCCTGGCCACGGACGGACTGTGGGAGCTGATGCACCGGCAGACCGTGGTGCAGGTGGTGGCCCAGCTGCTGACAGGTGCGTCAACCAATTAGGGACGAGCTGAGGGGCAGGAGAAGGGAAGGGCCAATCAGAGAGGAGCTGAGAAACTTTAAAGGAGCAATATGTAAAAATCTGGCTACTACAGTCACAGTCAATAGTGTGTAGTCCTCTCTCACTCTCCCTGACTCAGGTTGCCAGATACACACCAGAGAGACCAGAGAGAGACCAGAGAGAGACCAGAGAGAGACCAGCGAGAGACCAGCGAGAGACCAGCGAGAGACCAGCGAGAGACCAGAGAGAGACCAGAGAGAGACCAGAGAGAGACCAGAGAGAGACCAGAGAGAGACCAGAGAGAGACCAGAGAGAGACCAGAGAGAGACCAGAGAGAGACCAGAGAGAGACCAGAGAGAGACCAGAGAGAGACCAGAGAGAGACCAGAGAGAGACCAGAGAGAGACCAGAGAGAGACCAGAGAGAGACCAGAGAGAGACCAGAGAGAGACCAGAGAGAGACCAGAGAGAGACCAGAGAGAAGCCAGAGAGAAGCCAGAGAGAAGCCAGAGAGAAGCCATAAAAGTTTCCTTCTGACTTTAAATAAAAGTAACTGTTTATAATGTTGTTGGAGGTGATGTTGTTCCCACCTGTGCCCAGGGCTGCAGCACCAGCGCCCCCTGCAGGTGGCTCCGGGCCTGACTCTGGGCGGCCTGCAGAGGGCGCTGAGGGAGCGCAGAGGCCGCGTGCGCGTGGACGAGCTGAACGCCGCGTCGCTGCTTCTGCGGCACGCGCTGGGAGACGACGGTTACGGCGGCGTGGAGCTGACGCGGCTGCAGCGCACACTCAGTCTGCCCCCGGAGGTCACACGGCGGTACCGCGACGACATCACTGTGACCGTGCTGCTGCTCAACCAACCAGACGCCTGAGAGCACAGGGCCCGCCCCCTCTGTCCACACGCTCTGCTTTCAAACTTGTTGCACTGAGTACGTTTATTTTAGCTCCAGTTTTATTTCATTATTGTATTATTTTATTCTTTAATCTATTTTGTGAAAGATTGGATCTTGTTTGATGTGATTGTGACTCTTATTTTCTCCTACTGTTCCTCTGTGCGCAACGATGACATTAAAACAAACTCAAAGGTTTATTTTATCTTACGTTTACAAAGCACAAGAATTCAAGTCTTGTTCTATACAATAAAACCGGACGAGGAGAGAGATCAGGTTTCTCTAGGACTTCCGGTCCTGGACCTGTGTGTTTGTGTTTGTGTGTGTTTTAAATAAATACATGGTTAAAGAAAACTAGTTTTGGTGATTTCTCATTGGTTTAACCGCTGTCCACTCCAGTCTTAACCACAGGGGGCGCTGTGGAGCTGCTGTGTTTCGGCTTCTGTTTGTGACGTGACCACAGAAGGCCTCTGCACTTCTTTACACCACACTTACACTGCTCATGAGTATTCATGAGACGCCACTCGAGAGAGACAGGTCTCCCTCTGGTCTCTCTCTCTGGACTCACTGGTCACTCTCTCTGGTATCCGTTTCTGTTTGGACTTTTTCTAGACTCTCTCTAGTCTCCGTCTGGTCTCTGGTCTCTCTTTCTGGTCTTTTTCTGGTTTCTCCCTGGTCTATGCTGGTACCCAGAGTTTCATGGTCTGTCCTCGTCACTGACAATATAAAGAGTTTTGAGTGGAGTTTGGCGCCCTCGTGCGGTGTTTCAGAGTCAAGCAGCTTTGGGGAAAAAAATAAACATCTTTAACATTTAAAGTATTTAAAGCCCGGGAACAAAACCTACCAGCCACAAAAACAGACCTGGGTTTAAATCCATCTCTCTGGTTCCTGGATGTGAAACACGTCATTTATAATTATCTAGTTCTTACATGAATCTATTTGACCTCTGACACATTTACTGTTTCCTGGTAACTGTGGTGAGAGATCATTATCAACTACGGTTTCATTATGTTCACTCTCTCTCGCTGGTCTCTCTCACTGGTCTCTTTGCTCTCTCTGGTTTCTCTCATGGTCTCTCTCCTTCAGTTACTCTCTGGTCTCCCTCTGGTTTCTCTCTCTCTCTGGTCTCCAGTCTCTCTCGCTGGTCTCTCTCTCTCTGGTCTACCTCTGGCCTCTCTCCTCCACACTCACTCTGGTCTCTCTCATGGTCTCTCTCCTTCAGCCTCTCTTCTCTTTCTGGTATTCTCTTGATACTAATAACTATTAACATTGTGTACTCTCTCTCTGGTCTCTCTCTTGATACTAATAACTATTAACATTGTGTACTCTCTCTCGCCTCTCTCTCTTTGACCTAATATTTCTCACAATCTGTAAACACTGGATTAAGGGAGCGAAACCGGATTGAGGACAAACATTTGGTGTTTCCTCTCTCTTCTGTTCTAATGATATGTGAGGACAGCCGCGCGCGAGGAGGGGGGAAAAACAGCCGCTCAAGGAACACATGAGCGATATTAATAGCGCTGCGTTGGGGCTCGCGTTTCATTCGCCTCTGGAGGAGCGACGCGGCAGCAGCGACACCTCCAGCCCGAGCCCGAGCGTCTGTGACCGGGTCTGAGAGAGCGTGTGTGCAGGGGGGACCACGGAGCACGGGTGAACACAGCGCCTCCTCTTCCTCCTCATCCTCCTCATCCTCCACCTCCTCCTCCTCCTCCTCAGCCGGATCATGGAGGTCCTGTCCGCGCTGAACCTGGGCGAGCTGGCGCAGGGTTTCTCGCGCATGGGCATGTTCCCGATCTTCGATGTGGCCTACTACATCGTGTCAATCCTGTATCTGAAGTACGAGCCAGGTAGGCGCAATGTTTACGTTTGTGTCGTTCGTGAAGCTGCGCGAATGAAGAGAAACTGCGACGCATGCGCAGATGGATGCAGGGGCAGGTGCGCGTGCTGCTATTTCCAAACCAGCGGCAAACATGTGACATTAAAGCTGAGCTACCTGAGTTTTACTTTCAGGAATAATAGGCCACGTGTGTAGTCTTCAGATCACAACACACTGTTGCCATCTGATCAGGAAACACGTTATAACTTTAGTGTCACTCTGAGCTGATTGGCTGGATCTATGGTCTCTCTCTGGTCTCTTACAGTTCCCTTTCGAGCCTCTCTGTTCAGCCTCTGGTCTCTCTCTTGTCAGAAGAGACTAACACTAACACCTAACATAGCTCCTCAGCCTCAGTGTGACGAGGAGGAAGAGTTGTAGGGGGGTAGTATCATGCTGTAGTCCTAGGAGACCTGCTCCAGATGTTGCAAACAAACTCTCACTATCTTGTCTTACTGTAATGACATCATCACCTGTGAGAGAAAATTCACATTTTAGTTGAAACCTACACTTGGTTATTTTTGGTCTAATGTTTGAGTCTATGTTCATCCTCTTAATCCATGTCTGGGTCTGGGAGGTGGCCATCAGAGTCACCCAAGTCTCAGAGCACCGGCCCCTGACTGATCCTTAAAGTGGGGTTAAGTGTCTTGCCCAGAGACACAATGACAGCAGACATCAGTGGGAGCAGCTGGAGAAGGTCTTGTTGGGGATTGAACCCACGACTGTCGCAGATCAAATAATTACATTCAATCCCATCTGTCGCCGCTGCCCCCCCCACCCCCCCTCCCCCTCCCGACCACTGGGGGCAGTGCAGTTTACAGCTGCCTCTTTTTAACATGACACTGACCGTGGTTTCTGTCCTTTGTCTTTAATGGAATGTTTGGTAAATAAATAACTTTCTCTTAAGGACCTTTTTTCAGGAACACATGAGGGAAAACCAGACACTTTTTGTAGTAACCACAGTAATCAGGGTAACTACAGTAACCACGGTAACCACAGTAATCAGGGTAACCAGTTAACTACAGTAACCACGGTAACTACAGTAACCACAGTAACCATAGTAACTACAGCAACCGCAGTAACTACAGTAACCACAGTAACTACAGTAACCATTGTAACTACAGTAACCATAGTTACTACAGTAACCACAGTAACTTCAGTAACCATAGTAACTACAGTAACCGTAGTAACCACGGTAACAACGGTAACCACAGAGCTAGGGCCACAACACAATCTTAGGCCCTGTTTATACTGAGACGCTGCGCAGACGTTTCCAGGCTATTAACAGAAACGACCAGGCTCCTAATGCAAATTTCTCAGCGTTCACATGAGGTTGAAAAACGATGTAGTTCTAGCGCCCGGCCAGTAGGGGGCAGAGAAACTTTACAACACTCACACGACCCCCAGCCCCGTGCCCAGCCCCCCTCTTGGCAGTGTACTCACTTCCTGTGCCAGACCCTCAGAGAGTACCAACATCATTCTGCATTTTAACAGCAGCTGTGAAAATGGAAACTGAACCTAGAGCTTTGCGTGGTCTCGTTTGGACGAACGAAGGTGTAGAATTATCCTCTGTGCCGCGCTAAAAGCACACGTAGCTAGTTAGTGCGACCGCCGCCATTGTTGTTTATGTTTGTTCTCCGCTACTGCGCATGTCCAAATTTACGTGCGGGGAGCAGCGGGGAGGCGGGGGTCAGAGCAGAGGGGGATTTCACACCTTTTCCCCTCTCGCTGGTATGAAAGAGCCCCCGCTGTGCAGCGTTTCTGAGTTGTCCCACTCTGAGGCTGGATCGGAACACTTACGTTTTCACCTGAAACACAGTCTTCGTATGAACGGTTGGTAGAAACCGACATCCAACTATACTGTTTTACTGCCACATTGTCTCCGTGTAAACTCAGCCTTAAAGCCCTGATTCCTCTACTGCTAGGACATGGAAACAGACACTTATTTGTAAAACGTAACACAACCAGGTAGAGCCGAGCCAAGTAGAGCCGAGCCGAGTAGAGTACAAGCGATCAATGAATGAAGGTCCTGGGTTCAACTGCACCTCCAGTTTGCATGTTCTCTCCGTGTGTGTGTAGGTTTCCTTCGTGTACTGCGGTTTCCCCTGTGTTTGTGGACGTGACTTTGGGACTACAGATTAACAACATAACTACAATCTGGTGTTTTTATAGTTCCTGCTGTTCATGAATACACCCCAGATGATCCCCAGTGTCACTTATGGGGGTGGTAGTATCATGTTGTGGGGCTGCTTTTCTTTTCTCTCTCTAGTTCCTCTCTGCTCTCTCTGGTCTTTCTCTGGTCCCTCTCTGGTGTCCCTCTAGTCTCTCTCTGGTGTCTGGTCTCTCTGGTCTCCCTCTGGTCTCTCTCTGGTCTCCCTGGACTCTCTCTGGTCTCTCTGGTCTCTCTCTGGTCTCTCTCTGGTCTTCCTCTGGTCTCTCTCTGGTCTCCCTCTGGTCTCTGTCTGGTCTCTCTCTGGTCTCCCTCTGGTCTCTCTAGTCTCTCTCTGGTCTCTTTCTGGTCTCCCTCTGGTCTCTCTCTGGTCTCTCTCCAGTCTCCCTCGGGTCTCCCTCGGGTCTCCCTCTGGTCTCTCTCTGGTCTCTCTCTGGTCTCCCTCTGGTCTCTCTCTGGGCTCCTTCTGGTCTCCATCTGGTCTCTCTGTGGTCTTTCTGGTCTCCCTCTGGTCTCTCTCTGGTCTCCCTCTGGTCTCTCTCTGGGTTCCCTCTGGTCTCCCTCTGGTCTCTTTGTGGTCTTTCTGGTCTCTTCTTCATCAGTTTGAAACTCAAGACTCTGGAGACATTCCACAGCAGAGAATAAATAGAACGTCCAAAAATAGACATGAGCTCAGGACCCGGAGAAGACCCAGAGAGACGGGTCAGAGGGAACCACAGTCTGTATCACAGTCTGTATCAGTCTGTATCACAGTCTGTATCACAGTCTGTATCAGTCTGTATCAGTCTGTATCACAGTCTGTATCAGTCTGTATCACAGTCTGTATCAGTCTGTATCAGTCTGTATCAGTCTGTATCACAGTCTGTATCAGTCTGTATCAGTCTGTATCACAGTCTGTATCACAGTCTGTATCAGTCTGTATCAGTCTGTATCACAGTCTGTATCAGTCTGTATCAGTCTGTATCAGTCTGTATCACAGTCTGTATCAGTCTGTATCAGTCTGTATCAGTCTGTATCAGTCTGTATCAGTCTGTATCACAGTCTGTATCAGTCTGTATCAGTCTGTATCACAGTCTGTATCAGTCTGTATCACAGTCTGTATCACAGTCTGTATCAGTCTGTATCAGTCTGTATCACAGTCTGTATCAGTCTGTAACAGTCTGTATCACAGTCTGTATCACAGTCTTTATCACAGTCTGTATCAGTCTGTATCACAGTCTGTATCAGTCTGTATCAGTCTGTATCAGTCTGTATCACAGTCTGTATCAGTCTGTAACAGTCTGTATCACAGTCTTTATCACAGTCTGTATCAGTCTGTATCAGTCTGTATCACAGTCTGTATCAGTCTGTATCAGTCTGTATCACAGTCTGTATCAGTCTGTAACAGTCTGTATCACAGTCTTTATCACAGTCTGTATCAGTCTATATCAGTCTATATCAGTCTGTATCACAGTCTGTATCAGTCTGTATTAGTCTGTATCAGTCTATCAGTCTATATCAGTCTGTATAACAGTCTGTATCAGTCTGTATCACAGTCTGTATCAGTATGTATCAGTCTGTCACAGTCTGTATCAGTCTGTATCTGTCTGTATCAGTCTATATCAGTCTATATCAGTCTGTATCACAGTCTGTATCAGTCTGTATCAGTCTGTATCACAGTCTGTATCAGTATGTATCAGTCTGTATCAGTCTATATCAGTCTGTATCTGTCTATATCAGTCTATATCAGGCTGTATCACAGTCTGTATCAGTCTGTATCACAGTCTGTATCAGTATGTATCAGTCTGTATCACAGTCTGTATCAGTCTGTATCACAGTCTGTATCAGTCTGTATCACAGTCTGTATCAGTATGTATCAGTCTGTATCAGTCTATATCAGTCTATATCAGTCTGTATCAGTCTGTATCAGTCTATATCAGTCTGTATTAGTCTATATCAGTCTGTATCATTCTGTATCAGTCTGTATCAGTCTATATCAGTCTATATCAGTCTGTATCAGTCTGTATCAGTCTATATCAGTCTGTATCAGTCTATATCAGTCTGTATCAGTATGTATCAGTCTATATCAGTCTGTATCAGTCTGTATCAGTCTGTATCAGTCTATATCGGTCTGTATCAGTCTGTATCAGTCTATATCAGTCTGTATCAGTCTATATCAGTCTGTATCTGTCTATATCAGTCTATATCAGTCTGTATCAGTCTGTATCAGTCTATATCAGTCTGTATCAATCTATCAGTCTGTATCAGTCTATATCAGTCTGTATCAGTCTATATCAGTCTGTATCAGTATGTATCAGTCTATATCAGTCTATATCAGTCTGTATCAGTCTATATCGGTCTGTATCAGTCTGTATCAGTCTATATCAGTCTGTATCAGTCTATATCAGTCTGTATCAGTATGTATCAGTCTATATCAGTCTATATCAGTCTGTATCAGTCTATATCGGTATGTATCAGTCTGTCACAGTCTATATCAGTCTATATCGGTCTGTATCAGTCTGTATCAGTCTATATCAGTCTATATCGGTCTGTATCAGTCTATATCAGTCTATATCAGTCTGTATCAGTCTTAATCGGTCTATATCAGTCTGTATCAGTCTATATCAGTCTGTATAAGTCTGTATCTGTCTATATCAGTCTATATCTGTCTATATCAGTCTATATCGGTCTGTATCAGTCTGTATCAGTCTATATCAGTCTGTATCGCTCTATATCAGTCTATATCAGTCTGTATCAGTCTGT